CCAAAGGTAGTAATCACCGACCGAGAGGCAGAAGTTGATGCAGTGTTTGATGATAATGACGAACACCGGTCATAGGAAAAGCACCGCGTACTATCCTCAACCGAATGGGTTAATGGAACGCCCAAATCGCACGATCGCTGACACGCTGTCGATGTACGTGGACTTGGAGCATTAAATGTGGGATGAAATCCTGCCTTACGCAACGTTCGCCTATAATACAGCCCTCTAAGAGACCACCCACGTTACTCCATTTCAGCTTGTCTATGGTCACATAGTCAATTCAACTCTCGACGCCATGCTCCCAGTTGACAATGACCACTACGAGCCATCCAACATTGACGAATTTCTGCGAAAAGCTAAAGAAGCACGCCAGTTGGCAAGGCACCGAATACGTCAACAACAGTTCAAGGATGCAGACTACTACAACCTGTGCCGCAGGAGAGTTTAGTAACAGCCAGGTGATCAAGTATGGATCTGGACACCAATATGACGTCGCGGCCTGTCAGAAAAGCTCCTTCGACAATACTTTGGTTCGTATAAGGTCCTTCGCCGGCTAAGTGACTTAACTCATGAAGCAATTCCTGACGAACAAGAGGCACTTGAAATGGCAAAACCATGCGGAGGTCTTCCACGTTGTCCGCATGAAGCCATACCATGAAAGAGAATTAAGCATCTACCCCCTCGACAATTACCTTCCAAATTCACACATTGAGACGATGCGCATTTCAGAGGGGAAGTAATGCCACAGAGATTGCTTCTACGAATCATATTACGAAGAGAACCAATGGGACGCTATGTGGGCATCTACAGTGTCTCATGCGTGCTGACGCATCTTGGCGCAGGGCAGCGCATGCCTCTGGTGCACGAGCATGAGCCGGGAAGACAGACATAGTAGTTGTTCAAAAAGGGACAGGTAGGCGGAACGCTTTTAGCAGACTCTTCTTTGTGTCATAGCTACTTTTCTGGGCACAAGTTCTCCCTCAATAAATCATTGTTTGTGTGTGTTTCCCCTCTTGTATTACGTGTATTATGTTATTTCATACTACCAAGCAGTGTTGTGGAATGGGTGCCTCCAATTCAATCCAATTTCATTCTGGGGAATCAGAATTTGCCTTAATTCAATTCCTTTTAATTCCTCGGGAGAAAAAAACTGTCCCTTTCCCTCTCTGGAATTGGCGGAGCCATTCGATTCCATTCCTTCAATTCCTCAATGTAGAAAATGCATTATGATTGTTTTATTGAGTTGAGACTCTTCTTTGTGTCATAGCTACTTTTCTGGGCACAAGTTCGCCCTCAATAAATCATTATGTGTGCATGTTCCGACTCTTGGATTACGTGTATTATGCTCTTTCATACTACCAAGCAGGGTTGTGGAATGGGTGCCACCATTCCATACCAATTTTATTCTGGGGAATTAAAATTTTCCCTAATTCCATTCCTTTTAATTCCTCAGAATAAAAAATTGTCCCATTCCCACTCTGGGATTGGCGGGGCCATTCAATTCCATTCCTTCAATTCCTCAATGTAGAAAATGCATCTTGACTGTTTTATTGAGTTGAGAATGAACCAAATCATAATTAGAAAGTCATGAGATGCATTAAGAACGGCAAAAGCAATAAAAACACGTCACCAAGGTCGAGGGTTAGTATTTTGGTAGCATATCTCTTGAAGTAAAACCACCCTACTAATTTCCATAGCAGCAGTTCTCCCACTAGGCCACTCATATAGTATTTGCATGGTCATCTTGTTCAAACAAATGGTGATAGTTTAAGTGTTCAAGCTTAAATTTGTCATTGCTAAACTGATGACATAGCGCATTTTCATGTTGACAAAAGTAGTGTTCAAGAAGACTAAGCAGTTTAGTCCAATGTCTCGAGCGATCGTGATAATGAATAAAACTAAAATGTAGTTAATGGGAACAAAACATGCTATATCTGCTGGTATTAGAACAAACAGTGCACCACCACTTGGGCACCTTGTGCCTTTGCATCCAATACAGAACAGAGGTTCACTCGAGTGCAAAAACACGAAACGATCACTCACACACGCACACACCCATGCATCAAACACACACAGCGCTCTGCATGGTGCATGGGTGTGTGCGTGTGTAAGTAAAAGTTCATTCGCGCTCGAATGAACTTTTAGAAATGATGTACCAACTAGCCCAACAACAAGTTCTTTTACAGAACAGAGGGCCACACTGCTCGTCAGCATTCACGCTTGTCCAGCACGCCTAAAAGCATGGATGGGGTGAAGAGAACTTTGTGTTTGCCTGTACGCAGGTATGCAATGTCTTTCTGGCCGCAAAGGTTATTTACATTTGTCAAGTACTAAACTGCTCATGAGATAAAGATCAGGCCGTGCATAGAGTATTCGCCCATTTCGTGTGGGGTATCAATGAGAACCAATGCGCGAGGATAATTTCTTTCGCCCTTCAGTATCTGTTGGGATAATGCATTTGTTTGAGTGCCAACTCATGCAGCGGTTTCTTTTTTTTTTTAAGAATTGGAACATTGTTCACACTTTTATATCACGCCTACTCTTGGCTTTGGCTAACTAAAGGTCGATGTAGAGAAATCGCTGTGGCCTTCCACTTCCATAAAGCATGTACTAAGGCCTACATGACTAATTTGAGCATGATATTACATTAGTACTAATTAAAAGTGTAAAAAAATACTTTAAATGTCCTCTTTGCTTGCAATGTGAACACAAATATGGGCCAAGTTATAGGAACCAAGCAAAGTAGCAAAAAAAAACCGACAATAATGACATGATCCCACCCCAGAGCACTAGGAGTAGAAGATGACCAGTTCCCAGCTTGATCTTTAGGAACGTATGATCTCCTGGGCTTGATCTCTCGAACATTAATCTTCCAACATGTTTTGCAATTGGTCACTACTTCTTTGGTCATTAGGTTTACGTCATAAAAAATGCTTAGGCGTCCTCAAGATTTTCAAACGCTTTAATAAAGGTCGCAAGCCCTACAAGGTGCTAAAACAATTTTATTTTGGTTTTGTTCATCGAAACTTTGCAACTAAATGATCGATTCACCATTTACACTTAAAACAAGTATTATGACTGTACGGCTCTTTGAACGGTTGGCTCTAAAAAAAGTGAAGTAAGGTAATTACCATCTACTTAACTATGTGTTCCGCTTCACAGCATGAGCTGCTCAAGCACGAACCGCTGGACGCAGCAGCCAGTGTGGTAGTATGGCAGTAGTGCTTCTCTAGCCGGCAACACATAACCCCCCCCCCACCCAAGAACAAAGTGAATGTGGGTTTAGTTTGGCGGATAGGCTTTCTTTGAGAATCGAGGAGGCGCCGCCGTGGCCGTAGTTACATGGGCTTTCCTGCTTCAGGCGGCTTTCAGAGCCAATGCTTTCAAAAGTTTATTCTCTCTCTCTCTGTCAGTATGAAGAGGGAGTGCACAAAGTTTATTCTGTACGACTGCGTGCTGCGCTGACCTAGAGACCTCCTCTGACAAAATTTCGGGTGAAGTTGCTCATGTGTCTAGAAAGGGGGGGGGCAGTAGGGGAAAAATGGGGCGAAGGAAAGTAGGAGGTGAGATTACGGTGAACAAAAGCATTGCGCCAGCGTTAATACATATCACAACTTAGAGAAGCGTTTTATCGAACATGCGTCCGAATCATCCAACGATGACAGAAGCTAGCACAAAGACACAAAAGATGTGAAGACAGCAGATAGCTGGGGACTGTAGCTAGGGTTCCGGCGAGAGTGAAAAAAATCACAGGAGGTAATGGGGGGAAGGGGATATGCTGTTGCTGTAGTTCCGCTCGATCGCGGTTACGCAAAAAATAGGGACAAATTTCAGAGGAGCACAGTCAATATAAGGACAAACTTGTAGTAGACGTGTTACTTATAAATGTACTGTGTTTGTAATCAGCCAGGCTATTTAAAAAATGTTGCTTTATTATTAAATTTGCAGCTCTGATTTACTAAATCACAGTTTGAAAAACAGCATGTAGACGAAAACGTGCTCTACTTCGGTAAAAGACGTAATTCCATTCCCAATCCATTTCTGGCAAAAGGCACTTAATTCTGTTCTCATTTCATTCTGAGGTCGTGAAAATGTGGAATGATTCCGGAATCATTCCAATTCCAGGGTGGAAACTCTGCAACACTGCTACCAAGGCAAAACACAGGAAGGACATAAAACAAAAGTATGAAGCATCATATTTTTCTCTACTTCCTCCATGCCATTTATTTAGCAGTGGCAGTTGACAGCCGGCAGAACTGCTATGATACCTTTCTTCTAAATGGGCCCTGCAACACTTTTTCAACCAAGTCAGAAAACACTTCCAAGCAGTAGTCGACGCTCCCGAAGACAAGCAAACCAAACATCGTAGCACAACATGCGGCCACGAATTTACAATTGATTCTCAAGGTCAACTTAGAATCGCTCCCTCTTTTACCTACATATGATGCCATGTACTGAAATTCATGGTTATTGGCTGACCCGGGCATTGTGGGTTGCATAATTAGTGCGCCCGCTGCAGAAGTACACCTGACGGTAGGTTAGCCACATGTTCAAAAAAAGAAAATCTGTTCAAGCTGATGACGTGCGAATGACAGAACTTCTTTCACCAAGTTCCATCACTCGCCTTCAAAGGGAGTGGGGCACTGCCTCTCTGTTTGAGTAGCTATTGACCGCATGCTTCGCCCATGAGGGGGTGTTATTTCATGTGCCCTCCATGAGACAGAGCAGGATTGGCTCATTCTATCTCTGCTTCAGCCTTGTTCATCGCACCTGCTCGTGTGCTCCCACTTGTGGATAGAACACGCAATGTGCATGGGGATGTTATCTATTTAGGCTTCATATCTGTCGAGAATGTTTATATAACTGGCATTGTAATAAAAGCAGCATCTTTTATAATCAAGGTATGCACCAATATACGTGTTCAGGTTACCACTACGTAGATGCAAACTGTGAGCTCTGTGCCACGCGAATAGACGTACAAAAAAAGGCATGCAACTCACGCTGAATCTGCCGAGTAGCTGCACACCATGCATTGTGGTGTAGAAGAGCCAGGAGCCAATTCTAGAAATAAGCGTGAAACAAGCAAATATGCTCCGTAAAAGTCAGTGAGGCACATTAAGTTTTGTGAAAAGAAACATTGTGATACAACAGAACTTTTTTTACATGTAAATCGTGCAAGTTTCCATTGTAGCATGATGCAAGTTAGGGGAAGACTTGTTTCCACTTACACAAAGCTACTCATAATGGCACAGTTTCTATTACATGACAGTAATTCCACAAAAGATCGACACGAGTCCAGAAACTGATATTTTAGAGTTTGTTGTGTATTTAATAACCTCGTGTATTTAATTACCAATAGTCTGAAAGTCAACTTCATTTTTTTATTATTGGCATAATTTATGAGAAGAAAAATATCAATCTTACTGAATACAGAGGGACCAATTTTGTCAACTGTCACCCTCTAAACATTGAGACGCTATAAAAATGCAAAGGTTATCGTTGCAAAAGAAACACTTTTTTTGCGAAGTCTATGCATAAAGAACAAGAAATTATTCATGTTTCAAATTTGTAGAGCAAAGTACAATATTTTTTTAAAAATGTCTAGATATATGACATTTTTTAAAAATTTAATGTTTTTTTTTTCTTGTAAAGCAATGCAAGTAGCGTTTCAAAACTTGGTTAGTTGTGAGAATATAACATGCTCAATAAACGATTAAAATAATTAAATTGTTGTATTAATTTTTTTGTAGTGACATTATTCGGGCTACAAGCCAGAGCTTTTGCAGAATGCACTGAGATGCTGTGAAATCGAAATATAAAAGCAGCAATCAGCTTTCCACTAGAGTAAACGCTGACCCCCTTTCGAGTAGAAAGAAAGTTTTACAACTGTGACAAATATTGTCTATGAAAGCACATATACGCTGCTAATCCCGGAGCTATAATAGAGGAAATCAAATACACAGTGACACAGTTGGAGATTATCTGTGTATATTTGCAAATAAACTTACACACAGAAATGCTCCAACGCGAGTGTTGGGTCTTGCAAGATAAAACAGAAGCCCTTGAAGTACCCACGATCTGCTTTTTACGCGATGAATACGGGAAAAAAATAGAAGAGAAGCCACATCTATTACTGATCACCTTTAGCAGTACATGACACCAACAAAACACAAACATCATCAGTTCAGGACCATCAACACGACTGTCAGATGTGCTTAGCCAAACATGCCGAGAACATTGCTGGGTCTCGCTGAGAGTATCGCATTCTCGAAACACACGGACGCAGCAGATGCAGTCAGGCAAACCAAACATTGTGTACAATAATTCAACTAGTTTTACAAATGATGATATCGTCAGCCGAATTCAATACACCACTAGTGACACGCTAAAAAACTTTATACAATAATCCAATACACTCAATTAACATAAAAAACAAATAGTACAAGGTAACACAAAGGCGGTTTTGCCAATGTTCGATTCGTCACAAGGGGCCTGCGGGAAACCACCCGCAGTGCCGTTCCTTCGCACCACCTGCCACACACTAACAAAGCTCACAAATATTTTTTGTGCAGCCACTTAGCCAAAAGTCACCAGGCAGCTCTGCTGGCGCTACCGCGCTACCATAGTGATGGCGACGAATCAGCACGAGCACTGTGCCACCTGCCACTCGACGGCTGTTAAACCTTGTCCATGAGTTACTTTTGCACCATGAGACACAAATAACTTCACAGGGGGTGATACACCCCCCGCCACCATACGCCTTGAACTCGTAACAAAAATTCTGACCAATTTTTCTTAAACTGACGTAAGGTTCCTAGCTTGTTGGAAGGTTCATGGCCATCACAGCAGTTTCTTCTAAGTGCCAATAAATGAAAGTCTCAGTGCTCAATATAAAAGTGCAAATTCAGGTACTGTAGAAGATTGTGCTTAAAATAGTTACTCTGATTAACTGTAACTTCCTTTCTTTTCCAAAGGTGGTCAATATATCCTCCCGTTGGAAGCTTATTGCTGCTTTTATATTCCGATTTCTCAGTTTTTCAGTATCGCAGCGCACTTTGGAAATGTTCTGACTTGTACCCTAAGTATTGTCACTACAAACAAAATAATGCAAGATAATTTTCTATATTCCTTTCTCATGGTCTTCAGTTGTCTCTTTACAAAATTTGAAGAAAAATATTTTAATATTTACTTTTCAACAAGGTCCACTTTTGCCAATATTGGAAGTTTAAGACAACAGATAAATATATGTTTGCCCTACCATAAAGACATTTTAATTACTTATTTAACCACATTATGTTCTCACAACTCACTAAGTTTTGCAATGATACTTACACTACCTTATGTGCATCTCTCATAATCATATGGTGGTTTTGGGACGTTAAACCCCACGTATCAACACTATCTTATGAGAAAAAAAAATATGTAACACAAACTTTTTAAAATGTCACTAATCTAAACATTTTTAAAAAATATTTAACCTTGCACTAAAAATTTGAAACAGTGTTACTTTACTCGTAATTATGCATAAATTTCATGCAAAGAATATTTCCTTTGTAACGATAACCTTTGTGTTATGATAGCCTCTCATGAGAATGAGAAGTGGCAAAATTGGTCCCTCCAATTCCTCAAATAAAATTGGTCCCTCCAGGTTCAACATTTTTTTTTCGTAAAGTATGGCATTAAAAAAAATGAAGTTAACTTTCAGGCTATTTGGTAAAAGGTGCATAAAATATCAAATACTAAATCAAATCTAAAATATTAGTTTTCCGACTAATGTCGACCACTTGCGGAATCACTCATGAACAAAAACACTTTTCACGAATGCGCAGATGTCAAACACATTTTTTTTTTACGAAAACAAGGGGAATTTTTAGGCCTCGTATTTTTTTTATTGGAAGCAATATAAATGGACATAGGCTTCCACTCAAGAAACACCACACACACACTGCATGTGGAGTGTGTTTCTTGAGTAGAAGTGAGTGCAAATGTGGGAATGTTTCTAAAGATTACCAAGTTGCACCAAGTACTCACAGACGGAGAAGAAATTAAGTTTATCTCCACTCAGTTCTAGAAAATTGATTATACAAAGTTAAAATAAATGTCACTAAAATAACAAAAATAATAACCTAACACTTAAAGTATAAAAATTTTTAATATCACTTTGACTGCTATAATTCCCGTTAAAATGTTTTATCACACCTTGTAAATCTCAAAAGATTATTCAAGGGTACAACATAATGCATAATGGCTTGGAAACTGGCCCACTCAGTATAACTAAAAAGAAGGCAGTCAGTTGCTGTATTAAATCTTTCGTTATGCGTCTGCACATATGTGTGTGTGTGTGTGTGTGTGTGTGCGCGATGGGAGAGGTGAGAAGTGTTGACAGATTTACAAGATGGACAACTGTGACACAAAAATTAAAGAAAGACCAAAAAATAAATGATCAAACAAAGGGCAAACATAAAAGGTAGAAAAATACCTTCAAAGGGGCTGTCGGCACGTGAGCCCTACAACAGAAAGGCAAAGAAAAAGAGAGACAATTAGCACCAGAGCACATATTTTTGCTTTCAATTCAGAGAAAACAATTCAGACTGTCATAAAAGCGTCAGTCACTTTTTCTTCAGAAAAACCTGTCATAACAAGTTTTGCTTAAGTTATGTGCGTGTCGCATGCGCTCCCGTTTCGGCGAAACACTGACTCACCAGCACCCTCTCCCACGCCTATCCTCAAGTTTTCCGGAGCTCACCGCTAGAGCAAGGCCTGGAGTTTTCGTCGCTTTGCAAACTTTAGCTTCGGTTTCATAACACTGCCAGACTACTGCAGTGGACTCATAATGCAGTACAAACAATTGTGTTAGGTGTACAGCAACAAAAACACAGTACTGGCTGACATCCTCTATGCAAATGCACACCAGATGGGTCTTCAACTGTCAATATTCCACTGAAGCTTTGCTTCTCCTGTTATGTACTTAGTTGCTGTGCATTATTCTGGGTTGTCCGACAGGTGCATTGAGAAGCTGTGAAAGCAAAGACCCCCCCAAGGTAAAAGAATAAACTCTGCAGTTTGTTGTTGCACAGCATATTGTTGAAGCAGTCCAAGCGAGAAGGTGCGCTTATAATCAAATTAAGAAGTAGGGTGTGCCACAATCTTATGCTTGCACTGCTTGCACCTTTGTTGCCATATTTAGAAGTTGTATGGACAGGATTTCCCAATGGACTAGCTACAGTAAAACCAAGGTATGTGAAATCTGTAGAAAGTCACAAAATAGTTTAATATAATCAGTTATTTGGCTAGCAAGAGAAGCTGCAGGGAGTACGCTACACTGCTCGAACACAGCTGTTTCAGTTGTATCTGAGATAGCTGTATCTTACGCACTGTATCTTAAGCAAGTACACTGGCTAGTTTACCCGTGTTTTCATTTAAACTCCAAGAAACTGTTTCGAACTTGTGAATTAGAAATGAATCGTGTATTTCGCGCTCATAATGCGACGTGAATCTTGCCTCCAATACAGTCCTCTTAAATGAATCGAAGGCATGTCCGGTAGTGGCGACGTGTCTAAAAATCGGCAAATGAGGCATGGAGTGCACATGCACCTTGTGATTGTTAAAACGATAGCGAAATGCATTTTCGGTGTGACCGATATACTCCAAGTGGCAAATGAAGCACCCAAACAGATAAACTACATCATCTGTGTCACAGGTAAAATCGCCATGAATTTTTAAACTAAAATTATTTGCCGAGCTTTTAGCCACAGCAGTGGTTGTCATCCGATTGCATACCTTGCATCGAGGTTTGTGGCATGAATGGCAGCCAACTCGTGAAATTATTACGTACTTTGAAGGACGTGAGAATGTCCTGCAAATTCCTACAGCGATGATGCAGAGCGCGGGGTGGCTCTGAAAAAACATTCTTTAGGTGCTCGCTTTGCGTCAATATATTGTGACGTTGCTTAAGAATGGCTGCTGCATTGGGCGCAGACGTGCTATGCGTGTGTACAAGGTTAGCGCTGAGGCTACGTGGACATTTCTCTGCGTTAAAAAGCGTTTTACAGTCAAGCATGTCTGCACATACCACTGCGTCATCGATAATCTGTGCCGGGTATTTCTGCTTTAGAAGGATAACACGCAGTTCATCACAACTAGCGCTGTAGTCTCCTTGCTCGGAGCAAATGGACTTAAATCGGACAGCCTGGCTGTGTGGTATGCTGGATTTAAAATGTTTAGCGTGATTGCTGTTGAAACGGATGTATTGTTGTCGGCCAGAAGGCTTTTGAGAAAGCTTGGTGATTAAGTTGCCGTTTATTAAACAAATAGAGACGTCAAAGAAGTTTGTAGCTTCTGTCGAGCAGACGTGCGTGATAGAAATTGATGGGTTAACATTATTAAAATCTGATACGAATAAGAGAACGTATACGTATATATATATCTTTATATATACAGCAGAGAAACAGGGAGACCAATCTAAATTATTAAAAAGATAATAAACACTTGTCTGTTTCATAAAATAAAACTTTCACTTTATTTTATGCATACATCCCATACTTATTTTGCATAAGAGCTGTGTAAATGCCGCAACTTTAGTCCTCCTGCAACTTCATTCTCAATAATACACAGGTACAAGACTACTAATAACTGACCCATGATACAAATTTTGAAAAACTAAAAGGAAAAGGAGTGGGCCGAAATAGCTCCAAGACAGAATGGAGAACAGTTCATTGGCAATGCACAAAAGCCTAAGCAAAGCTCTTCAAAAATATCCCGTGCCAGCGCTAGTGGGGGGCTCTTCCCCCATGAAGCAGCCCAGCCTCCAGCTCCCCCGTCCCCCTCGTACTATACACCTATGAATGGAGGGTGCCACCGCCTGCCATAGGCTCAAGGCAGGCCTATACAAAAACCTAACTACGCCACATAACATGCATTTGAATACTGATTGCACAAGGCCCCACCAACCATGTAGTACCACATTACATGGTAGTGAACACATAACATGGAACACCACTATGTGAAAACCATGAGAGCGCAGTGGGAGGCACTCCTCTCAAGCTCATCCTTCAATGGCCGGCTCAGGCTGATTTGGAGGGTGAAGAGGTTGATGAAGGGCCTCAACATGTTGGCAATACTTTCTTGGAGGACTGTAGTTAGTCATCATCATCAGTCATTATGCAGTGCTCATGAAACTGCTGCAGCACAAGCCACCCACATTTTACAAACTATCCTGAGTGATAAAAACAGAGCTAGAAAAAGTGAAGATGAGTAAATAACAACAAGCACAGGCACTGACTTGCTAAAGAGACAGAATGAGTGGAGAACCAGAAAAAAAACAATAACAGAAAGAACTAAATTGTGTGTACAAGAAAGAGCAGAACATAAAAATGGCAAGCATTGGCAAAACATGTGACAACTAATAATTGACTAATCTGCAACACTCTCGAAAGTATGACACCTCCTCCTGCGATGAGGCTATTACAGGGACACTAATGCAACTATTAGGTTGATGTTGATTGTTGAAATAGCACTCAAGAAACCTAGTAGTGTTACTTTTGTGTCAAGGAAGGGCTTATTTTGAATGAAAATCACATTTTAGTGGTCCGCATCGGGTTAGCGCACTTCAAATTACCTGCCAAAATGAAACATCTCTCGTCACTGTTGCCGTGCACAATGTTGCCCGGCTTCACTGTGTGGCCGCCGACACTAGTAGCAGCAGAACGAAAGCAGCAGGAGCCACAGCAGCAACAACAATTCAACAATTTCCTGCCATTCACTCAAAGATGGCAGAGGTTATTGGTTCAACTGGGCCCGCTAGATAGCATGACCTGTCCAGTTTAAAACTATGCCAAAATCGAACTTTTGAATCACTCGTGCCATTCCTCATAATAATATACCGCGGTTCTTTTTTGCATAAATTTAACAGAAATGAACAAGCAGCGTTTTACTACGTCTCTTGATGCACGGAAGGTTCTTTATTTAATGCAGCTAGTTGAAGTGCTAGTGATTAATTGTAGGTGGTTCGTCTGACGCCATCGGGATCATTTTGAGAATGTTCTACTGCAGTGAACGTATTCTTGTGCATTTACCTTAATTTCTCGATAAGTAGGGCACTGCTGTTAATAATAGTCATTTTCGATGTTCTCATACATTGACCTTTCGCTCTGACAATTGTTGTTTGACGCTTATGATCATGATCATCATCACCATCAGCCTGACTTTGTCTACTGCAGGACAAAGCCTCTCCCATGTTCCTCCAGTCAACTTGGTACCGTACTTGCTACTGCCATTTTATACCCCAAAACTTCTTAATCTCATCTGCCCATCTAACTTTCTGTCTCCCCCTAACCCGCTTGCCTTCTCTGGGAATCTAGTTAGTTACCCTTAATGATCAGCGATTATCTTGTCTACACGCTACATGCCCGGTCCATGTCCATTCCATTTTCTTGATTTCAACTATATCTTTAACCCCAGTTTGTTCCCTGATCCACTCTGCTCTCTTATTGTCTCTTAAGGTTACACCTACCATTTTCCTTTCCATTGCTCACTGCCTTGTTCTCAATAAGCTGAACCCTCTTTGTAAGTCTCCAGGTCTCTGCTGCGTAGCTAAGTACCAGCAAGATACAGCTATTATACACCTTCCTCTTGAAGAATAATGACAATCTACCTATCAAGATTAGAGAGTGCTCGCCAAATGTGCTCTACGCTTTTCTTACTCTTCTAGTTACTTCAGTTTCATGGTTCGGCTGCGCAGTTGGTACCTGTCCTAAGCAGACATAGTCTTTTACAACTTCGAATGTACTATTACCTATCTCCAAGCACTGTTCTCTTCTGAGGTTGTCGTACATTAATTTTGTTTTCTACAGATTAATTTTAAGACCTACCTTTCTGCTCTCCTTGTCTAACTCTGTAATCATGAGTTACGATTCGTCCCCTGAGTTACTCAGTAATGCAGTGTCATCGGCAAAGTGCAGGTTACTAAGGTACTCTTCGTTAACTCTTATCCCTAACTCTTCCCACTCAGGCTTCGAAAACTACCTGTAAGCACGCAATAAATAGCATTGGGGAGATTGTATCCCCTGTTACACCCTCCTTGACTGGTATTCTGTTGCTTTCTTTATGAAGCACTATGATAGGAGTTGATCCCCTGTATATTTCTTTCGGGATGTTTATTTATGCTTCGTCTACGTCTTGATTCTGCAGTGTCTTCATGACTGCTGATATTTCTACTGAATCAAATGCCTTCTCATGATTTATGAAGGCTATATATAGTGGTTGGCTGTATTCTGAGCATTTCTCTATTACCTGATTGATAGTATGAATGAGGTCGATTATTGGGTAGCTTGTTTGAAATCCTGCTTGTTTCTTTGGTTGATTGAATTCTAATGTTGCCTTAATTCTGTTAGCAATTACCTTTGTAAATAGCTTGAATACGATGGACAGCAAGCTGAACGGCCTGTAGTTCTTCAAGTCCTTGTCATCTCCGTTCTTATGTATTAAGATGATGTTAGCATTCTTACAAGATTCTGGTACTTTTCCAGTCAGGAGACACCTTGTAAACAGGGTGGCTAGTTTTTCTAACAAAATCTGTCCTTCATCTTTCAGCATATCTGATGTTATCTGATCCTCACCAGAAGCTTTGCCTCTTTGCATTCCCTCCAAGGCTTTTCTGATTTCTTCTATCATTACTGGTGGGATGCCATCTGGTTTACTGCTAGTGCTTATATTAAGGTCATGGTGTTCCCGGCTACTGTAAAGATCTCCGCAAAACTCCTCTGCTATTTTAACTATCTTAACCATATGAATTTGCCTTCCTTGTCCCTTAGTGCATGCATCTGGTTTTTGCCTATCCCAAGTTTCCTCTTCACTGCTTTGATGCTTCCCCCGTTCTTCAGAGTGTGTTCAATTCTCTCCATGTTATACCTTCTTACATCGAATATTTTACGCTTATTAACCAACTTCGAAAGCCCTGCCAACCCTATTTTGTCTGTTGTATTTGAGGCTTTCATGCTTTGACGCTTCTTGATAAGATTCTTCGTTTCCTGGGGTAGCTTGCCAGTGTCCTGCCTAACTACCGTACCTCCAACTTCCCCTGCACACTCTGTAGTGATTCTCGTCAGATTATCACTCATTGCGTCAACGCTTAGGCTGGTTTCCTCGATAAGAGCCGAGTACCTATTCTGAAGCGAGACTCTGAATTCCTGTACTTTCCCTCTCAGTGCTAGCTCATTAATTAGCTTCTTGCATATCAGTTTCTGTCGTTCCTTCTTCTAGTTTAAGCGAATTCGAGACCGTACCATTCTATTGTCGCTGCATCGTACTTTTCCAAGCACTTCAGCATCCTGCACGATGCCTGGGTTTGCGCTCAGTATAAGGTCTATTTCGTTCTTAGCTTCGCCATTAGGACTTTTCCATGTCCACTTACGGTTCTCTCGTTTTCGGTAGAAGGTATTCGAGATCCATAAATTTTTGAGGTATGCCAATTCTACTAATAGCTCCCCTCTGGCATTTCTAATACTATTGCCTGGTCTCCAGCCTGCTTCTTGCCTACTTCGGCATTGAAATCTCCCATCAGTATAGTATACTGTGTTTTTACCTTACTCATTGCCGATTCCATGTCTTCATAGAAGCTTTCAACTGACGCGTCATCATGGCTGGATGTAGGCATGTAAGCTTGTACCACCTTCATCTCATATTTCTTACTGAGTTTAATTACGATACCTACCACCCTTTCATTAATGCTATAATATTCCTTTATGTTGCCAGCTATGTTTCTGTGGATAAGGAATCCCACTCCCAGTTCTCTTTTGTCAGCCATGCCCCCGATAGCACAGGACGTGCCCATTCTGTAGCAGTGTATAGCCCTCATTTGTCCTCCTAACCTCACTGAGCCCTATTACATCCCATTTAACACCCTCTAGCTGCTCGAATTCTACAGCTAGATTTGCCTCACTAGAAGGGCAGCCTGTCCCGGACCCAGAGATTCGTAGCACCCTCTGCTGCATTACATATCTGACCACCGCCGCGGTCAGCTGCTTTGCAGCCACTGGGGATTGAGGGCCGTGAGTTAATTGACGTATGCATGTGGGAGGTATTGGCCAGATACTGCACCAGGGTGGGCAATCCTTCTTTGGTGAGGGAGTGCGTTACCGGTGGTCTCACTGGTGAGGCCGCACCCCCAGGCCTCCTAATGCAGTTCTATCACCATGCTTGTCACCTTCAATCAACATTCAGAGAGCTTATCTCTTGTTTTTTAGGCAAAGCACCAATGCAATATTTGTGCTCTGTCAAACGCAAGCTTGCAGCCATTTGGTAGAGTGAACTGCCAAATGAGAAACGATCCTGTTTTTTATTTCTCCCATCATTTGGTCACACATTGAACTCCAAATAGTGCATCTAATTTCAACTAGCTTCAACACTTGTCGGACCTTCAAATAGCCTTTGGCTATAGGTCTGACAAGTGTTTGTTACTTATAAATAAGTTATGAAATAAACATTCATTCATACAAAAAAAATTTATAGAAGGTGTCACAGAGCCTACCACTGTGAGCCCCAAGCTTTTGATTAGCATTGCCAAACAAATTTCTTTTACCATCCCATATGCACACATGGTGGCATCAGCAAACAACTTGAATAAACAGGTTTAGTCATGTGCTGACGGCAACGATGTTTTGATACTAGTATCTTACACTGTCATCAAGTTAGGGCTTATGCTACTTTTTTGAAATTACAAAAAGATAAATGGATGGCGTGTTTGAAAACTTTAGCTCGTTTTATTAGATTAGATAAGTGATCAGTGATAAAATATTCTCCATGAAAAGCTGACATCACACAGAGACTTACAGCTAGAGGGGAAAGCCTAACTCACCAGCACACTTGGCAGCTCCGGAATATCTGCAAATGCAAAAAAAAAAGAGAAGATCTGAATTACCAAAGGCTAGCATCATAACTGGTGGCATTAAGGCTGTAGTATGTCCCACTCCAGGGCTTTGGTGAATAGAAACACGCTTCACCATAGGCAACATCTGTGGGACAAGAGTACGCTCTTTAGATCCAAGACCTTGTTTTCAGGGGAGCCTTACCCACAGCGTGACGCTTAGGCAGCTCCAATTAACACCGAACAAGCAGCGTAACCGCTATGAAATTAAGTTTGTCCCTTCCTCCTCTTTCTCATCGCAGGTCAGTAGCTTAATTATGTCTTTTTTACAAAATTTATTACAACAGCTATCTGAAACAGAAATTATTAACAAGGCCATCATACATATCAGTTCAAATTGATCACCGCAATAAAGTTGGAGTTCCATCATGTCACACCAAATGTTTTCATGACTCATTCATACTCAGAACTTGTGTCAGTTGGAATGATCTTCCCCATGATATCGCTTATATAACTGATAAAAATATGTTTCATAAAACTATTAATCTTCTCTAAATGTTTGTGTGTATATATATATGTTTGTATATATGTCGTACATATGTGTGTATATATAAGATTATTATTGTTAGTACACGTTTTTCCTTATCAAATTGTTGTCATTTATGCCTACTTTATTTTACTTACTTATCTGCTGTGAGTTTTTTTCCTTGCTGTTTTACATTGCTTCCGTTATGTATATCTCCACTCCCCTCTGTAATGCCCTCGGGCCCTGAGGGTACAATAAATAAATAAATAAATGAATAAATAAAAGCTGTGTAATGCTCTGGACTTGTATACTTTAGAAAAAAAAAAGCTGATGCCTCATCAAATGTGAAATTTTCCGGAGAGGCAAAAGAGCCTCTCCGGAGCTGCCAGGTGGACTGGATAGTCCTGAACTAAGGACGAGGACTGAGCGTCTGAAATTCCTCTTCCAGTTAATTCATAATCATTTTAAACTAAACTATTCAGATTACTTCCAGGTCAACACACAAGAACACTCCAGACATCGCCATAATATGTATATACCACCCCTAGTCCCACGTAACGATTGCTTTAAGTTCAGTTACTTTCCACGTGCTATTGAAGATTGGAATATGCTGCCAGAGTCTATAATTGGTTGTTCCTCGCTTACATCACTTGAACAGAATCTAAAACGTTTATTTTCCGAATAACAGTGACATATGTTTTTTTTTTTTGGCGTGTGTGTGTACTTTTTGTTGGTTGCATGATTCTGCAGTAGTTGTCTTTCAAATCTTCAGCGCGGTGCAAAAGTGCCGCCTCAAATGCGTCATGTGCTGTTCTGCGCGTATGTGTTGCATCGCATGTGTGTTCCATTTATGTATGTTATGTATAACTTCGAGTTGCTGGTCACAATAATACCGAGAAATTATCTCGAGACCTGTAGGGTACTTCTTTTTTGCAAATAATTGTTTGTACTTCCACCCTGTAACGGCCCACTCTGGGCTAACAGTATAAATAAATGAAATGAAATGAAATGAGCATGTCTCCTGCCTTCGAGTTATCTTAAGTGAGTACACAAAGAACTCTGTGACATTTTTTGTCACTTTTAATGTTTTGTGTAATGTTCAGAAAAAAACTGGGGGACCCTTAAGCTTCACCGTTAAGAGTTGAACGCAATAGCGATATTTTGTTCCTAGTGCGTACTTCACGTGCTTGGTGTATATATCTTGAACTTGCTATGTACCCACTGTGTAGCCTCAAGGGTGCAGTAGCAAGCGTGTCTTTTGTAGTGGGTGACTGGCTTTAAACTATGAAGACACTAGGATAATCCTGTGTTCTGACAGCCTATGGCAATGTACACTTCTATCATGCATTATTACTGCAATTGTTCATGTTGTATTGTGTAGCATATATACAGGACGCGTGTGTTCGGTGAAGCATGAAAGTTACTTTCACTGCGTTTCCAAGCAGAGGAAGTTATTTTCACTGTACTCACAAGCAGAGGCATGGCTGTATGGTAGGACACCCGCTTGCCATGCAAAGGACCCAGGTTCGATCCCCACTCAAAGCCAGAATTTTTTATTAATTTTGTTTGCATCTTTCTCGGTTTCTCGGTCACGCAAAGATGCTCGCGTTTACGCTTACAACCAACGACGTTGATGTTTGAATTTATGCAAAACAAACTCTTTTAATGTCATTGCTTTTATATAGGCTATCCACTTGTTGACTGTACAAATTCGTGTTTTTAGCCCATACTGAAGTGGAAGACAAAGAAGAATGAGCCTCAGTTGAGAGGGAAGGGCTGACTTGCCTAAAGCCATACACACGGGGCACTAGTTCCTGGAATGAGGCCACTTGGACTATTAACTTTTTATACCCCTTAAGCACTTGAAAAAGAAATACAAAATCCAGAGATGAAAGAGAAAAGGTACGACTTGCCTGTCCTGACTACTTATTATTGAGCTGTTAGGTAGCACTGGAGTGAAAAGTGCTTAGACAGTCTTGCAAAGCTGAATCCCAATGAGTATTTCTTGTGTCAGCAATAAAACAGCTACGCTTGTAATTTATTGTGACATTTCACAAGGCAACGCTATATATTAAAATGACAGGTTGATTGCGCTCAAACACGAGGCATGCAAAGCTTTACAAGGCTAAGGCTCACACAATCCAGGCTCACACAATCCCAACGTGTGGTTGTAACAGCCGAGTGCAAGATACAAACACAAAATTTTTCGTTACTTGAGCTCCATAATGTGATTGAGCTGAAATCTTATGCCATTTACAAATGTGGAAAGCTAAAAACTGAAACTATCAGCATTATCACAACTGCAGTACGTGCAGACAGAGTATCACTACAACTTCTTACAGGGCAGATAATAAACTGGCAATAGCCGTGCTGTGGCAAGCGTGCAAAGGGCGGCCTCCTATGAGCGTTGTTTGGCGCAAGAACTGAAGGGCTCCTAAAAAATATAGGAAGCACTGCCCTTTTTGCTGGGGTGTGGCTTCAAGTTGTTGGTAACTGTGGTAATGGCATGGTTATTACACAGCATAGAACAAGCAACTACAGTAAACTCCCCATAATTCAAAGTTTGATGATTCATACTTTCAGTTAATTCAAACAGAATTAAATTTTTTGGTTGGCCCTCCATTCTTTCAACATATTTAAAAGCCTCTTAAATATTTCGTTACCGCATGAAATTGGTTGTTTTTCATGTCTTGGGAAGATAGTTTTTGCCAGTTAGAAAAGTACTCCAGCACACATTACAGCATTCCACATTTTATACAATGAAATGCTCTTTCCAAACAGTTTATGGTGTAGAGCAACAAAAGTATTTCAGAATGAATAAAAAATGACAAGTGTAGAATTTTTCCTTACAAGGTGTTAAACAGGGCAATAAAAACACTATATATGCAAAAATATTCAAAATAAAGAAAATTCATAATATACATTTTATAGATAAATGACCTAGGAATAGTATAAAAAATAATGAATACTGTACGAAAATGTTTCTCTTCACATAGACAAAGAAATCAGAAACGAGGTGCAGCTTCGTTGCTTGGGCCATGTGGTGAAGCATTGCATTTTTTTTTTTTTTGAGACACAAGTGTACTTGTATACTTTTTCTCAGTAAATATTTGTTGTGCTGCGATAAGAGTCTCCTGATGTACCAACAGAGGTAGGTTGATACCCATGATGCAAATAATCTCTCTAAAAATGAGATGTCCAATGAACTTCGCTATTATCTCTCCTTATCTACATTTATATATAAAAAAAAACTTCGCTATTTCATCTAGCGTCACCTCTTTCTATGAGTCACCTTACACTGCATGGCGTTCTAATATATGCATTCAAGCATATTAAAGATGATAGTCTTGGGGACCTTTGACACAAAAATTTTGGTCTGTCTGTGTGTCTGTCTGTACTTTTGTCTGTTTATCCGCTCTTAACAATACCCCAAATGGCACCAAATGATACCGCAAACAGCCGACCCCATTCGCAGCACCCACCAATATTGCTCAAGAGTGAGTGTTCATAATTTCGCGATTGTCAATTAAAAAGCAATAATTGCGCATATCTGAGGCACCATAACAATACGTCAATATTTTCTATGAGTGGCTTAATACTAGAGAAGGCATACATAAGTATTTCCAAGGATCGTAGCATTTACCACGCTGCACTGGGAATGCAACGCTTGCAGGAAATGCAGTATTTCCAACGCTTGGCAATGACGACACGGTGGCGGCACCTACCCGTCGCCTTCCTTTCTACACCTTATCGCTTCCAAGACAAATGCGCATGCCGCGCGATTGGTTTTCCAAGATAACTGGCAGATAGCGCTCGTGTCTCACGTGTGATGTGACTTGATGTGCTCGTTTGCCTCCGCTGCACGCTCGAGGCACTCTAACGCAGCGCCTCAAGAATGCCAGTAACCAATTTTCTTGCGCAGAACATAAAATAAACATTTTGTTCACTCTCTCCAGATGCAAGACTATCGTCTTTCGATGACATTTGCAGAGTAACATGCAGATACGGGCAATTTTTCATTTTGGCTTTTTGCGCATATCCTATTAAATAAAGGACAATATCGCACGCAGTTTCAGAACTTTTTACAGTGCTCCGTAGTCAGAGCCAAGATGTGCTCCGGGGACCTTCTTGTTGTTAGCAGAAGCTCTGCAGCCAATGCCAGCGCACTGCGCCCCAGTGAAGTGTAGACCATGCACGTAACGAGAGTAGCAGGATTGTGCGCAAAGGTCAGAAGCTGTAAGCACTTGCGGCAGAGGAAGCAACTTGAGGATGTAAACAAAACAAACCCATGAACGGCGGTGAATGTATCAAGCTGACGCAAAACATCGTCGCCATAAAACTTGAAGCTGAGGTGCTGTCATCCTCGAACGCTAAGCCTGTCATCACTCAATTAAGGTGCGGTTGCAAGACAGCTTTGTGCAGCGCATGTGTTTTTCAGCACTTATGCGCAACCATGCGTGTGTGATGACGACATCATAGGAGCAACTAGTGACAGTAGATGTGACCCTGTGTCTGATATAAGAATGCAAGCATAACCAAAGCTGCTGGAAACTGTCATAGAAGGCCACCTCAACACTTCAAACACGTGGCAAACCTTCGCAAATATTTTTGTAGAATATTTTTTTCCTAAATCCTACCAACAGCTTTCTATTGAATATAAGACAAATTTCTGGCTATCGTTATTGTCAACATAGTAAAGTTGCAAAGCTGATACTTTAATCCGATATTTGGCTTGCAAAGGTTCTATCCAACACAGAACTTTAATGTTACTGTAGCATAATCACGAAAGGCGCGCACTTATGTCCAGTTCGCCAGCCTAGTGCACTTTTCCAACAGTAGATGCACAGTGGTTCACGCAAAGGTCTGTCAAAAATACCTATGTTCCCGAAAAGGGCAAATACAAATTGATTCTGAAAGTTGACTGGTTGAACTAACTACTAGAAAGTGCTGGGTGCACGGGAAACAAATTCAACATGCGAAAATCGGTGATTCAAAAGCGTCGATCCCCGGTGATTGATTTGGATAGGCCTGGTAACCAAAGAGTTAATTCAAACTCCATCATTCGGTTAATTCACACTTTTGTGGTTTCATAGCAAAAAATATCTGCTGGTTTCCCACTACTATTTAAACATTTGTGCTTATATAATCATAACAGTCTAAGAATGAAAAATAAGCACCTTAGGCCATCAAAAAAAAAGGCTTTGCTAGTAAACAAATGTTCGAAACGAAGCACACGCATGGTAAACCGTGATGCTTCTCAACTGGTACAGAGGGCTTTATGCTGAAGGAACATATAGCAAAGAAACAGTTGGCAACTGACTATTCCTTTAAATGGTTTGATCAGAAGCAAATAGCTGATAAACTTGTGGCTCTTACAGCTCTGCTTTGTGTTCATTGCGTGCAGTTAGCGTTTAAAAACACTCTAAAAATTTTTACATCTGACAGAATCAATGCCTAATCATAAAGTACAGCGTCACCTTCCTCACTGTCGTATATCTGACAACTTCTGACAATTCAAATTTCTTGATAATTCAAATAAAATTCAGAGTTCATTTCGAGTTCGCATTGACGAAAGAGCTTTGAGCTTTTGCGATTGACAACACCAGGTTACCCTGATGAATGAGTGAAATGGGGACATGTGGCCCCATGAGAATCAAGCTTTGGGCAGGCATTATCGTTTTCTAGCATTCTGAACTCTTGCATTTTTGGGCTGAATAACTTCAGACTGTGTGGCCTTTATAGCTGCCATTCTTGCTATACTAATCGATCCAACCATCAGTCTATGTAACTAGCATATGAGCGATGTGGCTTTGAACATTGTTAGAGGGACCCTTTAAGAACTTCAGTGAAATAAAAATGCCACTCGTGCCTGCAATTTCGACCTGCTCAGGATAAGTACTAGACTATGATTGGTCGTGCGCAAACGTACACCTCATCACGAGTAATCCTCTCAACCAAGCCAGCGATGCCCATAAAACAATAGTAACTTCTGCTACACGAAAAAGTCTAGAAGTAAGACAAGATTTCGGGGACAACAGGGCAGTAGACAGAACTGGTACCACTCACCTGGCTGCACTTGTAGGTGGTCACTAAAGCCAGTGGGAACCTGAAAGATTAAGGGGAGACACTGGTCTTTCAAGATGCAAAATCATGGAAAAGTTTTGAAAACAGTATATTTATAACATGAAGACATCGCCGCATGTACTGACCTAGTTTCTTAAACCTTCGACTGATATTTCAGCCACAACAGCAATTTATATCACGAAAAGAGGCTATATTTATAACTGAAAGTAAAAGCAGAAAAATGTGGCTTATTGAAGCCATGCTGCTTATGCATGATATGCTGCTACGATGCCATGTTGCAGCAGTAGGCATACAGGTCACATACCTGGTGACTACTAATCATCTAACAAAAAAAATTTAACATTTCGTGTTACATGAGGTTCAAAAATTGCGAACATTTGTTTCTCTGTATTTTCTCGAAACCTAAATTTTTACTCTTTGTAACCTTTTGTGAGCGATATAACAGAGTTGGTAATATTCACAACGTGGTTATATTTACACATCATTCAACTAAAATTATGCCTTTTATTGAATGTATAAATACGGATTCATTTCCATATAAAAAGTGCCAAAACAATGCACCAACAATTGAACGGTATCAAAGAACTTGTGGTAATAGTAATTTTTAAGAAAACCATCCATTGTGCCATCAAGGCTTGTTGTTGAATCCCTCGATGTTGCTCAGAGGGCCGCATTGTCAATGGCATGTTCTCTTAAGACCAAACCACTCAGTGCAACAGATGTGGAACGCTGTTGGATGCCACAAGGAGATATGGTCCATAATGGCATGAAAACTAGGTCAAATTAAGCAGCTCAATCCATGGTACTAATAATGCTTTCTCTTCTGCAACATTGTGAGTGCATAAGTCTCAGGAATCTAGCAAGACTGAGTAAGGTGTCAAGCGTCCTGGTTGTCCATATGCAGTACATAAACGGCAGCTGAACAGAAGCAGCCCTGAAGCCTGCTTAGCAAAAATATGAGGCTGCACGTAATCAAATGAAGCTTGTTTTGGCTCACTTGCGGCAGGGGTGAGTGGTCGCGAAGAAGGAGGTGACTCGTTGAGAACACTCTCAAAGCACAGCTGGCTAAATACGTGACCAGCATAATCAACTACAGTTGAGGAAGGGAAAAGGTAGTAACAGGGCTCGCATGCATTGCGCGGGCTTTTCTTCTCACAGTTTATGCTCGACAAACAAATGGGAAGGCTGGGCATGGTCCATTTGGCAGTGGACCGGGCTGCTTTTGATAAGCAATGCCGATAGCACGATCAGTACCGGGTTTACGAACCCAGCCTTCAGTGCTGCCCAAACAGGGGCTTATTGATAGTGTGAAGTAAAGTATGTTCCCAAGTGTACAACAACCAAGCAAAAAGGCAGACTGGCTAGAGGTGTTGGGGCCCAGCAATGCTAACTTTGAAAGAAGGGTAGCAAAGCCTCAGCTGCAGGCAAGACAAGAACATTGCTGCCAACAGCATCTTCCAGAGGCAGCCTGAACCAGCAATAATGCTGACTCTAAAATCTCTGAGCATAGCGCAATCTCTCATACAGGCAGTAGTGGTGTGTGTTTGGCAAATGCAGTGAAAACTTCCTGGGTGCTTGCAAAGGTTCTATCCAACACAGAACTTTAATGTTACTGTAGCATAATCACGAAAGGCGCGCACTTATGTCCAGTCGCCAGCCTAGTGCACTTTTCCAACAGTAGATGCACAGTGGTTCACGCAAAGGTCTGTCAAAAATACCTATGTTCCCGAAAAGGGCAAATACAAATTGATTCTGAAAGTTGACTGGTTGAACTAACTACTAGAAAGTGCTGGGTGCACGGGAAACAATTCAACATGCGAAAATCGGTGATTCAAAAGCGTCGATCCCCGGTGATTGATTTGGATAGGCCTGGTAACCAAAGAGTTAATTCAAACTCCATCATTCGGTTAATTCACACTTTTGTGGTTTCATAGCAAAAAATATCTGCTGGTTTCCCACTACTATTTAAACATTTGTGCTTATATAATCATAACAGTCTAAGAATGAAAAATAAGCACCTTAGGCCATCAAAAAAAAAGGCTTTGCTAGTAAACAAATGTTCGAAACGAAGCACACGCATGGTAAACCGTGATGCTTCTCAACTGGTACAGAGGGCTTTGTGCTGAAGGAACATATAGCAAAGAAACAGTGGCAACTGACTATTCCTTTAAATGGTTTGATCAGAAGCAAATAGCTGATAAACTTGTGGCTCTTACAGCTCTGCTTTGTGTTCATTGCGTGCAGTTAGCGTTTAAAAACACTCTAAAAATTTTTACATCTGACAGAATCAATGCCTAATCATAAAGTACAGCGTCACCTTCCTCACTGTCGTATATCTGACAACTTCTGACAATTCAAATTTCTTGATAATTCAAATAAAATTCAGAGTTCATTTCGAGTTCGCATTGACGAAAGAGCTTTGAGCTTTTGCGATTGACAACACCAGGTTACCCTGATGAATGAGTGAAATGGGGACATGTGGCCCCATGAGAATCAAGCTTTGGGCAGGCATTATCGTTTTCTAGCATTCTGAACTCTTGCATTTTTGGGCTGAATAACTTCAGACTGTGTGGCCTTTATAGCTGCCATTCTTGCTATACTAATCGATCCAACCATCAGTCTATGTAACTAGCATATGAGCGATGTGGCTTTGAACATTGTTAGAGGGACCCTTTAAGAACTTCAGTGAAATAAAAATGCCACTCGTGCCTGCAATTTCGACCTGCTCAGGATAAGTACTAGACTATGATTGGTCGTGCGCAAACGTACACCTCATCACGAGTAATCCTCTCAACCAAGCCAGCGATGCCCATAAAACAATAGTAACTTCTGCTACACGAAAAAGTCTAGAAGTAAGACAAGATTTCGGGGACAACAGGGCAGTAGACAGAACTGGTACCACTCACCTGGCTGCACTTGTAGGTGGTCACTAAAGCCAGTGGGAACCTGAAAGATTAAGGGGAGACACTGGTCTTTCAAGATGCAAAATCATGGAAAAGTTTTGAAAACAGTATATTTATAACATGAAGACATCGCCGCATGTACTGACCTAGTTTCTTAAACCTTCGACTGATATTTCAGCCACAACAGCAATTTATATCACGAAAAGAGGCTATATTTATAACTGAAAGTAAAAGCAGAAAAATGTGGCTTATTGAAGCCATGCTGCTTATGCATGATATGCTGCTACGATGCCATGTTGCAGCAGTAGGCATACAGGTCACATACCTGGTGACTACTAATCATCTAACAAAAAAAATTTAACATTTCGTGTTACATGAGGTTCAAAAATTGCGAACATTTGTTTCTCTGTATTTTCTCGAAACCTAAATTTTTACTCTTTGTAACCTTTTGTGAGCGATATAACAGAGTTGGTAATATTCACAACGTGGTTATATTTACACATCATTCAACTAAAATTATGCCTTTTATTGAATGTATAAATACGGATTCATTTCCATATAAAAAGTGCCAAAACAATGCACCAACAATTGAACGGTATCAAAGAACTTGTGGTAATAGTAATTTTTAAGAAAACCATCCATTGTGCCATCAAGGCTTGTTGTTGAATCCCTCGATGTTGCTCAGAGGGCCGCATTGTCAATGGCATGTTCTCTTAAGACCAAACCACTCAGTGCAACAGATGTGGAACGCTGTTGGATGCCACAAGGAGATATGGTCCATAATGGCATGAAAACTAGGTCAAATTAAGCAGCTCAATCCATGGTACTAATAATGCTTTCTCTTCTGCAACATTGTGAGTGCATAAGTCTCAGGAATCTAGCAAGACTGAGTAAGGTGTCAAGCGTCCTGGTTGTCCATATGCAGTACATAAACGGCAGCTGAACAGAAGCAGCCCTGAAGCCTGCTTAGCAAAAATATGAGGCTGCACGTAATCAAATGAAGCTTGTTTTGGCTCACTTGCGGCAGGGGTGAGTGGTCGCGAAGAAGGAGGTGACTCGTTGAGAACACTCTCAAAGCACAGCTGGCTAAATACGTGACCAGCATAATCAACTACAGTTGAGGAAGGGAAAAGGTAGTAACAGGGCTCGCATGCATTGCGCGGGCTTTTCTTCTCACAGTTTATGCTCGACAAACAAATGGGAAGGCTGGGCATGGTCCATTTGGCAGTGGACCGGGCTGCTTTTGATAAGCAATGCCGATAGCACGATCAGTACCGGGTTTACGAACCCAGCCTTCAGTGCTGCCCAAACAGGGGCTTATTGATAGTGTGAAGTAAAGTATGTTCCCAAGTGTACAACAACCAAGCAAAAAGGCAGACTGGCTAGAGGTGTTGGGGCCCAGCAATGCTAACTTTGAAAGAAGGGTAGCAAAGCCTCAGCTGCAGGCAAGACAAGAACATTGCTGCCAACAGCATCTTCCAGAGGCAGCCTGAACCAGCAATAATGCTGACTCTAAAATCTCTGAGCATAGCGCAATCTCTCATACAGGCAGTAGTGGTGTGTGTTTGGCAAATGCAGTGAAAACTTCCTGGGTGCTGTGGGTAGGTTTGAGTGGAATGCCTTGCACAGAACTTCCAAACAATTTGCAGTATCTAAAATTGGCTGTGATTCGACAACCTGGTTTCACATGTTTCTACAGTCCATCGCGAGGTCACGGCAACACTGGCTTCTATATTCAGTAACAAGAAAGTGCTAAATTTTTGCTTTTGAAGCTTGTTAACCTTTAGCTCTGAATGCCACAAAGAGCAACCCCAAAATAATGAGTGAAATATTCAATCTACCTTTCATGCTCTGAAAAAGGTGTTTACTAGCCTTGTACAAATAGTGAATTTTAGGTTTGAAGTGAATTCGAAGCTAATAGTGATCTTGATAACATAATTTTGAATCAAATTCTTTGCCTGTAGAACTTTATTTTACTTTGTTTACCATTTTCATTATATAATAACAATGTTTTGATTTGCAAAACTTATTGTACAACTAAAACCTCCCTAAGTAATGCCCGAATGGGCTTTTAGGGTATATATGAATCAAAAACAGAACGCATGACATATTAAAAAAAAAAACAAGAATATTTATCATGACCTAACTAACCTATTTTTTGTACAATATTTTTTTAAAATTCAAGTAGGGGCTCGATGCGCATGTCATTTATTTTTTTGTTCAAAATAAGTTGAAACAGCCTTGAATAGTAGCGGGATTTGAGTTGCGCTAGGATGCAAGGGATTACCTGTAAAATATGTAACATTTAAAAATTTATTATACTTAGAGCTTGTAAGGCGTAATAACAAGCTTTTAAGCTTATTTGAATAATCAATTGATTTGAGGGTAACATGTTCATTTAAAGGAGCCCTGCAACACTTTTTCAAGTAGTTATAGAACCACTGAAAAAGCTTATCGCCTTATGAATTCACCACCACAAAATTTTTATAATCAGTCCTATAAGAGCGGAGTCCCGAGATTTGTCACACGCTGTTATTGCATCCTCTCTTGTCGTCCTGACAAAAAAGCTGGAAGCAGGGGGGGAGGGCATGGGGAAAGAAAAAACATTGTGTGTGCCTCGTGAATTTGAGTACTTTTTCTATCTTTCATTATTAATCTTCAAATATATGGCCTTGCAGTGTCATCCCACACATATGTGTGGACAAGCGGCGGTCTTCCGCAGGGGCCACAGTGACGACCGAGCAAGCCAAGCTCAAATCGGCCAATGGCTGTGACAAGTGATTTTCGAGCTTGTAGTGTCATTTGCTGAGGGAAGAGAACAATTTTTAGCTGATTTTGGAAATTTATAGTGAGCTGCAGGCCGCATCCTGCACTGGAATATTTGCCTCGCGTGTTCTCGGTACCCTCGACTACCGATCAGCAGCGTTTTATGACCGTTCTCCTTAAGTGTTACAGGTCCTCTATAAATTTGAAAGATGGCTTCGCGGCAGAGCGGATTTTTCTTGGACAGGTGCTTTCACGGTTTATCCTTTTTACACTTCAGTGAAACGACCTTTACAGTTGGTACATGCGGGTTAATGTAATTAATTCACTGCAAATACTTCGAAATTTTCAACAATTTAAATTCAAATCAAAACAAATTTAAGTACTCTACTATTCGTTCTATTATTCGAAGCAGTCGAATATTCGCACAAGCCTAGTGTTTACCTACATTAGGAAATATAAATAACCTGGTCTTCATGATGAGTTTATACATAGTTGTAATAAATGTACACCGACCTCAAAGTCGAGGTCGTTGTCCTCTTCTGCAGAGCTATCCTCAGACTCATCAGATGACCCTGCAAATGTGACAGAAAGCACACCAACAATGGGTCACAATGACAATGATCATCCGCTTTATTGCAGAGTCAGGGGTTAAATAAAGAACCGTCTGGCTAGGAACAGCAATTGTACAGCAATTATAAATTTTGTGGTTGACCAACTAACAACAGAGTTGACACTGCACATTCTCGTCTGAACAGGCTCTTCACGAGCAAGATGTTGAGTGCACATCTCACATGAGAGAGACCTACCAGCGGGGAACATGGTGGGGCTGCCTGGGAGACAGTCGAGTACCTTGCCAATGGGAGGAAACGACTGCTCCTGCTCGGTGCTGTCCTGCACAGTCCAGAATAAACAACTCACTCACCCTCATGCACAACACAAACATCCTCTAATATGCTTGCATTTTGGGTTTCAATGCAAAGCATTTCTTGATGAACCAAAGGCACTTTTCATCAAACCTATCTAGTCAAGCACGTTTTTGTGCTCTCAGGAATATTTCATTCACTCAGCATGATATACACGGCAGGACATGAGTGCATAGGTAACATTAGCCGTCAGTCATGTTAAGGGGGGATGCTACACCTTCCAAAAACTCTTTTATTTTTGCGAGTACCTCAGTCAAATTTGGAGAGCCTATGTAGATTTTACTGCTCATTTCAAAAATCTAATTCTTTTTCTTGCTGTGACAATTAGTTTTAAGGATATAATGAACTGCGACTTTTTCAATTAAGGCCTAATTAGCTAATTAACTGTAACTTGGACATTGATGTGCAACCTATAGAACCGATTCGGTATGTTCACAGTGTGCAATAAAGTATAAATCATTGTTCTGGGCTATTTCGAAGCAAAGTTGTGGGATGTTGAATATGACATGAAAAATTTCCCCATCTACACTTGAAACAAAAGATCCATTTAGAGAATTTTCTCCAAAAATTATTACAATAAAACTTACTTTACGACACATCCCCTGCATTTATCTTCGAAACAAAAAAGAAATCGTGATGATAACCCAGATAGAACAAGAGATATTGCTCCGGCATAATGGGAAGCACATGAAAATTGTCGTTTTGAGAAATCGAGAAAAAACGTGGGCACACATTTTTATTGCAGAAGATGCAACAAGACAACCTCAAAACGCACCAGAAGCATAGTCTGAATGCATTCTGTGCTCATGCCTCCTCTTCACTAGCTTCCGGAGTTCCAATGAGGCTGTTCTTTTCTTGTTGGAGACAATGCTGCGATGGTGGTCTTTTTCTCTCGCTCTCCTGGCACCAGTACTTGTCGCATTCATGTCCATTTCACCTAAGATTGCCGTTGCAGAATTCAAATTGCCCGTGTTGAAGCGCAGCACTGCTTCTGCAACAGCTGCTTCAACAGCGAACAGGGACGCATGGTGCTCCTTGGGGGCCAAACTCCAGATTACCGAATGTAGGCTCTCGTTGGAGTTCTGCGTTTTGCCGCGTTCGCAACTCTGAAGCAGGGCTCTTTCCGAAAGCCGGGTATAAACCGGTAGTAATGCCTCTGCCACGTCTTTCGGTAGATTGTAGGCATGCCTGGGGTCGGGCTCACCCTTTGCTTTTGCGGCATTGTGCCGACACCATGAAGTTTCACCAGCTGGGCACAGACTGTGGTCCGAGCATTCATCAGTGGAGGTGACGTGGTGGTATGTGGCCATCACAGCCTTTTGCATCTCGCCCACGTCACCTTCATGCGATTTCAGAGCCCGGCCATAATATGTGCTCAGCGTGGTGATCAGCTCACCTGTGAGCCTGCCTTTCCCACCAAGGCCTCTTTTCCCATCGCACTTTTGTTTCTGCACCAGGTTTCTCAATGCGGTGCCCATCCGTTTCTGTACATGATTAATACAGTCTTCCTTCTGCACGTCAATGTAACCATACACCTTGGCGTCTTGTATGGCGCAAAATGTCCTAGAGTCTCCATCAGACAGCATAGTTGTGTAGCGCAGGCCATGGCGTTCAAGCGACCTCTGAAATAGAATTAGAGCCGGCTCCACTTCCATTTGCCCCGCTTTGCTGTTCGTATTTTTTTGGCATTTGTGGTTAGCCTTCCATTCTCGATAGCCCTCACTACTAGGCTTTGGGCCCACTTCGCAGCCTAGGCAAAAGTTGGAAAGAACGACGTAGTCCAACACGTAGCCACTAAATAATTCGATAACTGTGCCCACGCCAATGTGGGAAGAATGGCCTCGCGTCTTCCACGTGCCGTCGTAGCTAACGGCAATATTGCCCCGGTGGCCGAAGCACAAGTCATCATAAATTGTTCTAACCTTTTCCGCACATTCGCTCATAGCGGACTCAGCCGCTCGCGTTGCAGCGGGTGCCAGCGTGTTCTTCAAATGCCGCTGAAATGTCTTGTGGTGCATACCGCAGTGTGAGATGCCCATTGTTGTGAAAATATCGTTCATTTTCGTTTGGCCGTTGCCGGTAGCCACCATCGCCCTCGAAGCGAGAAGATTTACTTCAAACGGATTGCACGTTTTCGTGCCGTTCGCGCGGGGCGAAGTCCATTCATTCGCGATCTCGCCGCACCTTTCACACTGCACTAGCACTTTCACGGCAAGTCCGTAGTCCCGATCCCCTCTGACGATCGTAGCCGGTCTGTGGCAGGCTTTGCAACACAAGGCACCCATTATCGTGTTTAGGATATCTAGATATATAAGCAGATAAGGAGCAGCGTGGTCCGAGTCCTGTGCGGTTGCCTCGCTACAACTCGCGGTGAAAAAGTCAATTTTCCGTGCAGTTGCTGGCGCCGATGAAAGCCGGTCGAGCGTCGCTTTCTCCCGGGCATGATTTTCTTCAACTTCGGCGTTTGTCACCACCTTGGCGTCAATTCGTAGTTGTCCGGAGTTCGCTTCACCGTCATCGTCGTCGGAGGCAACGCGCTCGGTCGCACCATCGCTGAACGGCCGCGGAGCGTCGACACATCGTTCGTCGGAGTCAACCAAGGGCTCTGATGACTTCGTAGACTTTCTCCCACGACCTTTGCGTTTCCTGCGACCAAATGCGTGCACGGTCCGATACTTTTTTGCGTTTCCAGGCATGGCGATACGATCAGAAGCTTCAGAGTGCTCTGCCGATTTCGAGGCGTCACATCGGTAACCCGTTCAAAATGGCGTCGGGTCGCGTATGCAGGCGCAAGCCGCGAGCTTCCAGCCAACCGGAAAGCGCCATTTCAGTCACGTGCGCCGTTTAGCCAATGGCAGTGAGCGCTGCTCTTCGTCTTTGAGGCCCCGTTTTTCGAGCTGGGGAAACGCTCAATGTTGCTTACTGAATAAAAAAAACAGCTGAAAACGCGTTCTTTCAAACAAGACCAAAATGGCGCCGATCGAGCGCGTAGTTCCCGCGTATCGTAGAGCCGAAACCTGCGCTATTCGCCCTCAATTTAAAGGGCAGGACGCCCGTTTTCGGTTTTTTAAAGTTGAATAACGATAAAAGTTGATGGTATTCGGCTATGAAATTTTGTAAATAGGTGCGCAATGATGTCGGGAACGCGAAAAGAAGGTCCGCGAAAACTCGATTTTTTGGCTGATTTTCGGTCCCGAAGTGCCGCGTCCCCCCTTAAAGGAGCAGTGACATCAAGTTTACGCATGTCGGGTTTTTTCTGTCAATGCTTAGTCTTGGATCCCTTAGTAACAGTTCGGTACTGATAATGAAAGAAGAGAGGGATGAACTAATATATGTAATATTGATTAGTATGATCAGCATCGAACTCAATTCAAAGCAGGTGTAAAGCCCGTCAATTTTCAGCACTGACAGCGCTGCCAAGCGGTCACCTCTCGTGGTCACACCTCATCTGATCACGTGGCCACACAAAATGGTGACGTGAGTTTCAGCAGACATTTCGTCTGCTCAGAGTGCACGTGTAGGCACGTCTTCGCCACCCCCATTGTTGCTGCCGCCATCGCCAGCATCCACGAAAGACATCGAAAACACTGAGGAATATAAAATCACTGCGATTCGCGACATTGTTTATCATTTTTGGTTCAATCCTCTACTGAGCAGTGATTCTGAGATCGACGTTGGACCGAGCAGTGATGAGGAGGCAGCTGGAGACGCACGCTTGGGCCACGCTGAATTGTAATTTCGAAGGCGCTCACAAGTCCAAAACAAGTCACCCGAAGCGGCACAACCGAAATGCAAGATTCATACAAATGTACAGCACCAACCAAGTGAAAAAAGAAGTGAAGCCGTCGCCAGGTAGCCAGGCGTCACCGCCAGACGGTACCGCAAACAGGCACTGCAATGATAACCCTCAAATTGTTGACATCATCGTTTCTCGTACATCGTCACTGAGAACCTGTGAGGGCCTAGGGGCTCACTGAACATGACAAAATACTGTCGATGTCGCATGGCACTGAACGCGCCGTTGAGCCTTTGGACGCTCATTGCGCTCCAAATAGAAATCTTGTACGTAACGAATGTTGTTCATACTTCGCTAAAAAACTCACGCACGCTAAGCGATGGAACGAAAGCCACACCCCGAGTTAGAAATGAATGTCACCACTCCTTTAAAGGGCCCATAAACCAGTAATGATAGAAGAAGTCAGAAAAGCTTTGGAGAGCATGCAAAGAGGCAAAACTGCTGGTAAGGATCAGGTAACATCAGATCTGCTGAAAGATGGAGGACAGATTGTGTTAGAAAATCTAGCCACCCTGTTTACGAGGTGTCTCCTGACAGGAAGGGTACCAGAGTCTTGGAAGAACGCTAACATCATCTTAATACACAAGAAAGGAGATAACAAGGACTTGAAGAATTACAGGCCGATCAGCTTGCTCTCTGTAGTATACAAGCTATTTACAAAGGTAATTGCTAACAGAGTAAAGAAAACATTAGAATTCAATCAACCAAAGGAACAAGCAGGATTTCGAACAGGCTACTCAACAATTGACCACATTCATACTATCAATCAGGTAATAGAGAAATGCTCAGAGTATAACCAACCACTATACATAGCCTTCATAGATTACGAGAAGGCGTTTGATTCAGTAGAAATATCAGCCGTCATGCAGACACTGCGGAATCAGGGCCTCGATGAAGTATATATAAATATTCTGGAAGAAATCTACAGGGGATCAACTGCTACCATAGTGCTTCATAAAGAAAGCAACAGAATACCAATCAAGAAGGGTGTAAGGCAGGGGGACACAATCTCCCCAATGCTATTTACCGCATACTTACAGGAGGTTTTCAGAAGCCTGGAATGGGAACAGTTAGGGATAAGAGTTAATGGAGAATACCTTAGTAACCTGTGCTTCGCCGATGACATTGCATTGCTGAGTAACTCAGGGGATGAATTGCAACTCATGATTACGGAGTTAGACACGGAGAGCAGAAAGGTGGGTCTTAAAATTAATCTGCAGAAAACGAAAGTAATGTACAACAACCTCGGAAAGGAGCAGCGCTTTGAGATAGGTAATAGTGCACTTGAAATTGTAAAAGACTATGTCTACTTAGGGCAGGTAATAACCGCAGAGCCTAACCACGAGATTGAAGTAACTAGAAGAATAAGAATGGGGTGGAGCCCATTCGGCAAGCACTCTCAAATTATGACAGGTAGATTGCCACTATCCCTCAAGAGGAAGGTGTATAACAGCTGTATCTTGCCGGTATTTAGCTACGGAGCAGAAACCTGGAGACTTACAAAGAGGGTTCAGCTTAAATTGAGGACGACGCAGCGAGCAATGGAAAGAAAAATGGTAGGTGTAACCTTAAGAGACAAGAAGAGAGCAGAGTGGATTAGGGTACAAACGGGGGTTAAGGATATCATAGTTGAAATAAAGAAGAGGAAATGGACATGGGCCGGGCATGTAGCGCGTAGACAGGATAACCGCTGGTCATTAAGGGTAGCTAACTGGATTCCCAGAGAAGGGAAGCGGGTTAGGGGGAGACAGAAGGTTAGGTGGGCAGATGAGATTAAGAAGTTTGCGGGTATAAATTGGCAGCAGCAAGCACAGAACCGGTTTAACTGGCGGAAAATGGGAGAGGCCTTTGTCCTGCAGTGGACGTAGTCAGGCTGATGATGATGATGAAACTACCCAGAGGTTGAAATTCAGTTGTGGTGGGGAAATTGTGCACGAGTGCACGACAAACACGGAGCCGTGAGAATTTTTCAAAACGATGCAGTAATTGCAGAGTTAGACGCATTCGATTATCAAAACTGTGACGACCACACCTTTCACTATCTCCTGCTCTTCCCTCCACTAGTATTCCCTCCCATGCCGCTTTGCCCTATCGCCGAGCGCCCCTACCAATCTCGCGTGGCATACATCATCGCTGACATGCTACTATAAACACTGTCTACTTCCGGTTGCTGCAACCCCAGCCGTCGACTTCGTCAGCTGCGTGCTTGTTGGCAAACCATGGCTGCCATAATTGTGCCGGTATGAAACCTGCGTTGCAAGCACGCCTTCGATGGATTGCTATTGCGATGGGCCCGTACGGGGACACGCCGTGTTCCTCACATGTTACACGCACATGGGCAACACGACGAACAACAACAAGCAGCGCAGGCAGCTGCTTGCAGACTGACCGGAAGTTGTAGGCTCTTGCTCGACCAGTTACAGCATATTTGGCATATTTGGATGGGCGCTTCAGAGATGTGGCATGGCGTGTCACGCGGAGGCTGGAAAGGCCCGGAAAAAAGGAGGTATTGCTCCTTGGAATTCGTGGTGCGCTGGTGGCTCATAGCGCTGCCAAGTACAGAATAGTTGATTACGACAGCATTCTGGACATGATGCGCACGTTTACTTGAAATGCTTGAAAGAGAATCAGAGATGGTTTATGGGTCCTTTAATTCTGCAATAGTACGTGGCGTTTTGCATGCCAAACTCACAGTATGATTCTGAGGTATGTGATAATGAAAGGCTCTGAAAATTTTGACCATTTGGCCTTTTGAACTGAACTGAAATTGCGGTGTAGAGTACACAACCGAAATGTCTCGGCCGTGGCCGAGATGGAGTTTGCATCCTTTGGGTCAGCAGCTGAGCACCGGAACCGCTACATACCCATGGCTGACAGTAGTCATGTTTGCAATGAGGTATGCTCTAGTGTATGTTTGTCTTATCACACGCTAATCATGCATCCCATTGATAATGCATCTGTACTGTTGCTCTGACCACTGATACGTGAAAAGCACAATGAGGCACTAGCACTGAAAAAAGTGCCACGATAATATGCCAGCCCAGCAAAGTGTTTAAGCCCAATTCTTCTATTCATGTTAATGTCATGAGAGCATAGGTTGGCAAACTCACTCGTGAGTCAACGCACCCAAACTCAGATGGGGTCGTGAGTCACAGACCGAGTCAGTTTGGGTAATTAATATCTCTGTAAGCTTGAGTCCAAGTGAATGCGGTTTAAGGAAACTGTGTGAAGCTAAGTGAGTCTGATTGAAGAAAATATTGAAGGGTCTGAATCTCAGTGAGCGCTAAGCACAAAATATAATTCTTGAGTTAGTCTGAATGAGCTCCACATTTTATTATTGCCGACTCATGGCTCTACTCATACCCAGCTTAATTAAACGTTTATATTGGCTTACATTTGTACTCAAACTTATTCTCATGTACCTCAAAGCACTAGCATTCATGTGCCACTTAGCTGTTGATCAGAGGCGTGAGTTAGGGTGGAGGGCTGTCCCAACCTTCCCTTCCACAAGCTTTTCCAGGGAAATTTCTTAATAAAAATATTTTTTGCGAGTTGCAGGTTTTATAAAAAAGTTCTTACTAGATTAAAATCTTTGATAACTCATATTTGCAGATACAACATCATAAGACGCATTGTAGAACACTAATAATGTGAGATACAGTTAAATTTGCTTATAACGAACCACTGTACGAATTTCTCGATAATGCCACGTTCCATTTCCCAAGTTTTGTTATCGTCGCAAAACACTACATAATTCTCAGCGCAAACCGCGCCTGAAGTTTTCGAGAAGCTTCCGGACTGTAGTAGATCGTTAGATGTCATGGGGTCGTGACATCTAATGGCCGAAGACAGGAGAATTTGCGTTAGAATTTAACTGTTTATTTGGGCGAACCTGTGCCCGGTAAACGGAAAGTCCGATTACAGTAGCAGTCTTGGACTGATAGCGGCGAACGGAGCGTCGGCCGTTGATCAACTACTGACAAGCGGCGAAGCGCGTCGGCATTTATACTCTTGCCGTCGAATGTCCTAGCGTTATCACTGGCGGTGGTGTAGATTCCAGAATAATCTGTACAGTTCGCAGAGTAGGCGTGATCTTATCGAAATGATCTACTACAGTCCGGAAGCTTCTCGAAAACTGCAGGCGCGGTTTGGGCTGAGAATTGTGTAGTGTTTTCGGACGATAACAAAACTTGGGAAATGGAACGTGGCGATATACTGTAGCAGGGTGGTGGCAAAGCGCAATAGTGTGAGGAGAGCACACACAAAGATAAGGAAGAGAGATATCAGTAAAAAAAATCCAGAAAAGCTGAGAAAAAGACAGACACAGAGAAAGGTATGCACGAGAAATGAAGAGTGACTATGTAGTAAACAGACAGAGTGAGAGATCGTATCGTATTAAGCTGTGTCGTTTTAGAGATTCATAGGTTACATCTGAACTAAAAAATATATTACATTTTTAATGAACTTTTTGTAAAGAAAATAAAAATACTGCTTACACAACGCTTAAGGGTGAGTATTGTTGTGTATTTTTTTACAGCTTACCTTTTTATGAAATCACCAATTTTTTTAGTTCAGATTGCTTCTAACTTGTTGTAGCTTACGCACATAAAAATTCATCGAAATGGATTCAATATTTGAGAAAAGGTACATTGAAAGTGAAAAATTTACATAAAACGCAATTACAAAAGCAATCATGCAGTCAAACATTTAAAGGGCCACTCACCAAGTTAACAATTTTGAGCTGACAAGTGCAATGCGTAGACAAGGCGTTCATGATCACGTCTGCCAAAATTTGCAACGCTCCGTGCCACGGAAATGGGTCAAATTTCAAGATCAACGCTGCTCTCCCTCCCTCCTGCTGGGGTGCGCCTAGAGATTGAGGGCATGACGTGCGCGTATGAATGGCCCTACATACACGGCAACGTAGTGACGGTACTCTACATAAATGACTTTGCTCAGACGTTACAAACAGTGGCACGTGACAAGGCGAAAATTATTTAACATGACACGCATAGTTTATGTAATTTGTGGCTTGAAGAGGTTAATAAAACTCTAGATAAATAATGAGACGCAATAAGAGAATGTGAGCATTTTCCATTTTTCTCCCGTGAATTGCAACGACACGCAGGGCTAATGTGTCGGCATTTCGCATGCGTTCGTGTACCCGCGGTCAGCGCATCGAGCAGACGATCGCCATGGAACGCTCCTACGAATTCGCGCACTCATTGTGCTCATCTATTCTACCGCATCTGAGCCAGCGTTTCCAAACCATCCCCAAAAAGCAGGAAGAAGACCACAAAATAACGCTGGTCAACAAAGCAACGCCACTCGCGTGCTCGGGGTTGGATTTGTTTGAGCACGTCATGCGCACTTGACCTCTTGATCGGATGCCTGAGAGGATGGGGGAGAGATTTGGCTTGCGAAGGCTACGCAGAGGAGCGGCAAGGGTTTTGAGCTCACCTCCTCTCATCATCGTTTCGCGCCGCTTCAGAAAACCGGTTTTCTCCGCTCGTGATCAACCGATTCAAGAAATTTTTGTGGCAAAATGTTGCTCATCGGACACCCAACAACTTACACTGTCTAACTAAAATTTGGTATGGAGCCAAGTGAGTGGCCCTTTAATGACATGAAGAGACCGCGAAATTAAATGAGCGCATGCTTTTTTTACCTCTTTCTCCGAGTAGACCTTGGGAGCCAGCCTGACAATGCAGGGCAATTTGCCTGCAAGATAATGAAGCAATGTGAAGATACAATCTTCTGACTTTGGATGAAGCATTGAGACAAAAACAGCACTCGTGTTCACTCTTCTTGACCGTGTGTGTTGTTTGTGGCGCTCATGATCAGTGGAAACATTTGCAATGAAGCTGCCTCCTGGCAAAAGACATGAAAAAAATTGGGGCAGCTGCGCACCTCCCGGTGGAAGCAGCAGAGCTTCTCTGCTCTCTCACTTCCCTTTCCTGGCTATGCACACAGCTATGCTATGCTCAATTTTCTTTATCTTCTCAGTGTACCTTTCTGTCTATCTAATTCTTCCCCTTTCTCTACATCTTCTTCCAGTTCTCTTGCACACAGCAGTGCAGCCATATGGTCCCCATGATTGCTTGTTGTGCTAGCGTGCCCGGATAGACAAGTGGTTAGGAGCTCACGTTCGGATCATGGGTACACAGGTTCAAATCATATTTAGGCAACAAGTTCTGTGTTGTTTTATTTAGCATGTCTGCTCCTCTCCCCCTGCCTTCTTTCCTCCAAAGCACTGCTAGGCAGCAAAGCGAGACACAGGAATGCCAGGTGTTGCAAGACGACATGCAGCGACGTCATAGCTGGGTGCAGTTTCTGCGAATGCCTCATGACAGGATCTCCGACATAAAAAGCTCTGCTACTAGAATTTGGTCACGTGAGCCCAACGTGCAGATGCAAAGCTAGTTGTCACACAAGAACAAACCGTCATTTCAAGAAGTTGTGTGACGATCAGCCATACTTTGTGCCAAAGCTAGCATAGATGTTAGGGCAATTCTTTTTAGGCAAGTACTGATGACTAGGCGAGTTGGCGCATTATAAAATTATATTGCTTTAGCGCAGCTCAGTTTGAGCGTGAAGGAAAGATACTATGCAGTCAAGAAGGAAAAAAACAGACGACAGTGTGAGCGCTCACACTGTTGTCTGTTTTTTCCCCTTTTTGACTGCATAGTATCTTCACGCTGAGCTGCGCTAAAGCAATATCATCTTCTTAAACGTATGTATGTAATGGTGATGTGTGAAATGAAGGTGCAGAAAATAGATACAAACGCAAGCACCAAGCACACAGCTGTCATTAGACACAGACAGAATACACAGCAAACAAGCGGCGACATGGAGTAGCGTTCCTTTTCACGCAATTCAAACTGATCGATCACTGATGCATTTAGTTTTCTTAAAGGGACACCGAAGAGCAAAATGACTTTTCGCATTTTAGTAAAGTACAATTTCAAAATTTCACAACACTTACCATGACACAATGCGGGTGGCAATGGCACCTTCAGATTCCAACAACAAACACCGCCACTTAAGAAATTTTGAAGGCATCTACTGGATCTTACATAGCTTCCAATCGATAAAAATGAAGAATATTGTAAGCTCTGGATGCCATAGATCTAGCAAACGAAGTTTAAGAAACTTTCACCGATTCAACGCCGTGAAATTACCAAACATACATTTTGAAATTTCTTATGTCACGCACGGGGATTTTGGCGCAACATTTAAAAATCAAACTTCAACTTTATTGTCTCTGTCAATAATGAACTGATAGTAAAGCACATGGCATTACAGTTCTCAGAGTGAAGTTTGTCAATCTAAACTAGGTCAATGTACCTTTTTAGAGTCCCTTTAAAAACACAGGAATTTGTATGCCAACTCCACAAGAAAATGATTGAACCGTCTCTCTTTCTCTCATGTAAAATAATCATCATATAGAAATAAAGCAAAATATATTTTTTTTGCAGGGCCATGTTCGCACATAGGTGACCACACTCTCAAGGCCAGTGTCTTAACCACTAGGCTGCACAAGGTAAATGTATTAACTGAGCCATAAAATGCATTGTACCATTAATGCAAAATAAATGTGAAAAAATAAAACTTTTTATGAAGGTGTTGTTGTACTGCATGGAAGTAAATTACAAATTTGTTCAAATAAGGTATTTTTTATTTTTGTGAAGCATCTCACAAATGTCTTTGCCCTCAATTCAAACATAACCACAAAATAAAAGCTGTATGCTTAAGAATAGATGTCAGACTTTAGTGAGTGTGGAGATCTGTATCGATATGTTTCTCAAATCCTGATGCCAAACACCCTTCAGAAATGACCTCCACATACAGGATATGGAAAAGGCCTTCTTTTGAATGCCAATGATAGCTGATATTTCGTTTGACCTATGTATCCAACTTCACTGTTGCCCAGCCCTTGTGGGGATAAGTTTTGTGATTGTGGACTGGTAGCTCATGCAAGTTTGAGACCCCTGCTCTGTGCTTACACATCACTTTCACAACTCTCAAGAGATTTTGCATACACTTCTCTTGTTAGTGATTCCTTAGTGATTGTGTTAAGGCTTTGTTATCTCGCATGCTGTCCGATTCATGATGCCTGGCTTAAATGTGAACACTGGGATCCTCTGCATGTTCAGTTTTTCCTAGCAGATTGCTAGTAACATCTTGGCTGCCACAATTTCATATAATACGACTTTGTAGACACCATACCTCTTCATTTATTTTTCTTGCCTCGTCCCAATATTATTGTTCTCAAGTATTATTCAATGTGATGTGAATTGTTGTTTGAATTTAATGTCCATCTAACAAATTATCCACTAAGAAATCATCTCCTACCTCACCAGACTAAGAAAAGGCGTTGGTAGTTGTCAACGTGCAATTCCGTTTGTTTTGACATTTGCTTTCACAACAAAAAACTATATGAGCAAGTTATGTCTAGCAAGGCAGACCTTGAAGAGGTAGTTGCCCTTAGTTTAGAAATGAGATAGAGTGAAAGATTACCGCTGGCCAATGGTGCTGCCTCAATTTTGACCTTCTGCAGCGTCCGGATGCACGTCTGAAATGAAGGATTGACACTGTCTGACTACACATTAATGCAGCAATGCAATAAAGCACATAATTTTATAATACTCTTTTGCGTAGTATTTCAATCTAAAGATAATGAACTCACAAAAATACTAAAAAGAATAATACTAAATCATTTTGCATTAATAGGCTACACATCTTGAATTGAAGAAAGGACACTCTTAGCATGAGATGATTGTGTCAGGAAGAGCACTAGGTAGTAAGTTGATGGTGCATCGAAATCATGCTAGTCTGAAAGCCAATTAGGAATTTCCTTCACAAAAGCCATATGAAGCATTCTCCCAGACAATGTCACAGCATTATTCAGTCTTCCCGATGACTGGTAAATGAGTAATTAGGACTCACAGCCAGATCGTCTTCCACGGTGACTGTCCGAACAACTGGTATGATCTCGTCTGAAAAGGGAAAGTCGAAACATAGTCCGATAAAGTGGCATCATTAATAAAGATATGCCTGATAAGCTACTAGAAATGGACACTGTGCGGGGTGAAATAGCTTTTTCAATGCTCCAAAAATTGTGATGCTTAGAGAGGAAACAGTTTTTGTGTTTGTGTGCTTCAATTAGAGTGACCACCCGTCTCACATTGATGGCTGTTGTCCAGCTATCAATCAGTAGCTAATGAACGACTTATCATGGCTGGAAAGCCCCTCATTCGGCAGAGCATGCAATAATTAATAATTTACAGACATTTAGGGACAAAGATCCTTAATCTTGAGGCTTGTCTGTTAGCGATGACGTGCGCCGTAGCCATTGCTGATGGTGATGCTGATGATGATGAAGAATAAGCCGTTTTAGACCACAAATTCTTTTTCTGCATCATGGCACAGCACATCCAAGGTACCCGCTATATGCCATGGTGGTGATGCTGATGACGATGAAGATAATTATACTAATGATGATCACAGATGACGGGTTTGTGCAGCAGATAAAATCTCGATATTTTCTACCATGCCTTTTGTATGACTGGAAACAACCAACAACCACCAAAGGAACGTGCCTAGACCTCGTCTTTGGCAACTTCAGACTAGATTCGATACCACAAAGCAATAATGAAAACAAAACGAAATTCACGGCTTTACACAACATACCAGTTATGACCAATAAACATTGTATATATAGCTTTACACCACTTCATCACTCATTTGCAGGCGCGAGTGGTTCATCTATGTCATGGGTGATTTACGGTAACACCGAACTATCCTACTGCTTTGCCCACTCATCATTATTTACTTCGTTGATGTGCCATGTTTTATTAATAGTATTGTGTGGGACACGAACACAGCTGGAAATCAGCACAGAGAAGTGAGTAGTGCGTCCCTGAATGACATAGTACAATACCAACTTTATTTCTGTGACTGTGCCGCCACTACAGCTCAGCTGCGCACCCGCTCGCACGCAATAAGATTTCACTGAAAAAATGGGAAAGGGTGCATGGCTGCTGCTGCTGTGTGACCATGAGGCTACCACATAACATCCCCTCCTGGTGAGTTGGCAAACGTTCATAGGACGATTGACATTGTTCACAAATTCATGCGATGGGGCACCTTGCAGACCCATCCACTACTTGTCTTTGCAACTTGGAGCGTTTGAACGAGCACTGCCTTTGAGGGTGGTGCCACAGATGACGACAAATGTGAAATGGTGTCTGCATCTTCAATGTGTGCTGGTTTTAATTGATCAAGTGAGACTACTTTGTGACGCCTACACACCTTGACGTAGCACTCTGAATGGTCTGTCGAAGGGTGGTTGGAGTGGCTCAGCTGCATCATGGCGCAAATACATGTGTGTGCACGAAGTAAGTTCGGATGATATTTGCACCGCACGTGGTGCTGCTTGCTGCCATGGCATGGTCTAAAGTTCTTCCATTAAATCTCAGAGCCTGAGTGCTTACGCTGCGGTTGCTGTAGAACCATCTTGCGGACTGCTTATAAAAAATTCTCCTGGAAGGTGCGATGTCGTTCCATAGACCAGTTCAGCTGAACTGAAGCCAATATTTCCCTTGAAAGCTGTGCAGTGCTGCTATCCAGCTGTGTTGTTCTGTTGCAGCAAGCGCAGATTTGAGCTGGCGGTGGAAACGCTCCAAAATGTCGTTGCTAATCAGGTGGTAGGCGGTTATTTGGATGCGAGAAGCACAAATAAAACGTGCAATGCTAGCGAAAGTGATGATTCGAACTGCCTTCTACGCTCCAATGTTATTACGAGTAGTGCACCGAAACGAGTGACCCAATAGTACAAGAAGGTGTGGGCAATTATGACAGCAGTGATATCTGCTACAGGTATAGCCTCTGCTCAGAGAGTGAATTAGTCAATGCATATCAGTAAATAGGCATGCTCCGGGTAATGCGACACAGGTCCCACAATGACGAGGTATAGTACGTGGTCAAACCAATTGCCTGTAGGCACGAACTTCGCCAAAAAGGTCACAGTATGTTGATGAACTTTTGCACGCTGACATGGTATGCATCCTTTTGCCCACAATGCAAGTCTCGCTTGATACCTGGCCAGATGAACCATGCTTCAATTCCAGGATGCCATAACTTGGGAACAGAAAAAAAATGTGGCAACGTAAATTGGCAGGTATAAAGGGGTGTGAGTTGCCTTTGGAGGTGTCCCAGCAAATCCGGTCGCCTGTCCCCGGAATCTGCATCCACTGAAGCTTGACGCCTGTTTTTGTTGTTAGGAGGCTTTCTAGCTCTTCGTCTTCTCTTTTGACTACCACCACAGCATCGAAGTTAACTCCTCCTGGATCATTGATGGTGTTTATAGCGCTCTGTGACAAGGTCCTGACAACAGCGTTGTCGCACTGCTTACATGGCAGATTTTTGTCGTGATCTCGAAGCTGTATGCCAGTTGGCAAAGTTTTTGCGCTATGTGTGAACTGCTGTCCGAACGCCTAGAGCGAAGAGCATAGGTCAACGGCATATGATAAATTAAAATGAAAAATTCCACGCCATCCAAAAAATGGCAGAAGTTGAGTATACTTGAGTAGACTGCTAGCAGTTGACACCTGAAGGTGCTGTAGCAGCACTCAGTAGGTGTCAGCTTCTTCGAGAAGAATGCAGTTTGTTTGTACCATCGCTCCGCTGTTGTAACCTGTGGGTATGCCACACAGTCGCTCACCTGTCAGTGCGCCAGGAAAGCCACAATTTCCAAGGCCTGCTTACTTTGGTTGAAAGCTTTTTTTCTTTTCTTCGCATCAAGGCAAGGTCATTTGAAGATACTCTCGCTGTCTTCAGCACTCCTTGAAGCGGTTCTATGATATGGGTGCATTTGGGCAGGAACAGGTGGTGGAAGTTAAGCAATCCACAAAAATTCACGTAGTTGACGCTTTGTAGTTGATAGTGGAAAGCCATATATGACCAGCACTTTAGATGCGTATGGCCGCACTCCCGAGTTCAAAATGATGTGGCCTAGAAATGACAACTAAGCCACGTATGTCACGGATCTCAGAACAACAGTCAGACAGAAAGAATGGACGAAGCGAAAGCGTTAAACACACAGCTTTTAACAATGCACTAATAGTGGAGAACACCTTATCTGAAAACCAGCTGCAAACCCCCCAAAAGAAGAGAACAAACTAATAAAATCAACACTAAACAAAGTTATCATAGAGACAATAAATGAAATGAGTCGCTAGTTAATATGAAGCGTTCTCTGCTCTTACGACCCACAGTGTTTGGAGCCGATACATGATAAAGGGAGGAATTTTGGGGACAATGACATGGCCATTGACATCCGAGTCGTTGTGACGGGCTCGGTACTCTTCAGGACATGTGTTGGTGTTGTGGCTGAGGCTGAAAGTCTTGAGGTTCGGTGACCTGGGCGGCGCAGGTCCTTGAGATGGCCAGAGTCTTACCAGAAAAGGCACTGGCTCAGTTGAGGCCTACAGAATGGTGCTGTAGGTCAGTGCACTCGGGACAAAGGCTGATGGCACTCCCTGGGTGTTGCTGGTAGTTCGATGTTAAGATTTCTGAATGTGTCTTCGAACAGGCGGCTACTACGATGCGATGCTGTAGAGCGTTTGAGCTCGAGTGCCCAAACGCAAGCCAAAGACGCTCATCCCCAGCTCACGTGCTGGCGTTTGAACATCTAGGGCCCCTGGAGTACACCATTCATGAAGGATGAATGAGCAATGGGACCGGTTGGAAGGTGATTCGCGGCATTTGATGAAATGCACACAACAATAGAAGCATCACGGCGCTGCTTGTCACCAATGCGGGACAGTTAGTAAATGAAAAAGATGCAAGTTTTGGTGTCTGTATCAAAGATGTTGCTCGATTCATCGACCTGTTAGCGGGACAGGCTGTGTGTCCGAATGTAGGCGTCCCTACTTGAACGTCGCTGTGCAGCTATATTCTTGCAGTCACAGCCCAGCGTCCAAGCCAGCCAGTAGGATCTTTTAGTGCCAAAGCCAACATAGCAGATGGTGGTCCATTTTTATGGAGAAATTCGTGTCACATAAATATGGCCAGAACTTCGAGACTGCCCAGACAAAAGCAAGGCATTCACGTTCTGTAATGGAATAGTTGCATGCAGCAGCTTTGAAGAGGTGTCTAGCATAAATGATGATGCGTCCCTGTTAGCGTTGGGCTAAGACGGCTTCGTTCTCGTGACCACTAGCATTAGTTCGGATTACTGTCAGAGCGGGTGAGACAAAGTGGACCAATATGGGTGACGTAGTCAGAAGTGCGATGACGTGAGAAAAAGCGGACGCTCGAGCAGAACCCCACGTAATGGTCATGTCTTTAGAAGGTCAGTGAGTTCTAGAGCGATTTTGTGAAGTCTTTCACGATCCTTCTAAAATAGGAACCAAGTCCCATGAAATAACCGACGTCTTTGACTAACTGGGGTAGAAGAAAACTCGAGACTGCCCTATGTTTCTTCGGGTCTAGCCATATAATTGATGGGTCGACAAGGTGGCCCAACACTAATCTGCCAGCGGCCAAAGTGACACTTTGACGAGTTTAACTCAAGGCCAGCAGTGCAGTAGATGTCGTGAATAGATGACAAACGCTGAAGGTGGGCCTCAAATGTAGGCGAATAAACAAGGACATTGTCCAGATAGCAAAGACATGTTGACCATTTAAACTGTTGTAGCAAAGTCCATCAGACGCTTGAACGTGGCTAGGGCATTGCATAGCCCGAAGGACCTAACCTACGTATACAACAAGCACAACATGAATAACAGTGCGGACAAAAGACATGCCTGTCTCAGCCCCTTGCTAATATTAATGCTCTCTTTTCTGCATAGTTCTTCCCGTAATTTCTATGCATATTGTATTTTTTCCATAAATCTACCTCGAGAGCACTATTCAGTCATCACCTATGCCCATTCCTTTAATATATCTCAAAACATTTCCTGATTAAGATTGTCATATGCCCCAGTGACATCAAGAAAAGCCATGCATACAAGGGCCCATTTTCTATTTTACATATTCATATGCACAGAGTAAGAACTAATATAGGTTATTATCTGACTGCCTGTTGGTTCATGCTCTGCTCACGTTTCTATTTTTAATTTTAGTGCTTGCACAGTAATAATCTGACCGTTAGCGGTTTATACGAGTGTATGTTATTCGTTTCTCTCTTGCCTTTACAGATTAGCTTCATTTTAGTTTTTCACAAACTATCTGGTACTTGCTCGTCCTGTAAGCATTTTTTACGACTTTCAAGAGTGCCTTTTTAGTGTTTCGTCCTAGGTCATTAATGGGGCTGACGGGAACCCCATCTTAACCCAAGGCAGAGCAATTTAGAATTTTCGTACGGCCTTGTTCCATTTGAAATTCTCAAGAACTAGTTTTTTCTCAGTTGTGCTCTTTGTTATACTTTTACTCACTGGGGAATCTCCTGGACGATCTTCTTGAAAGATTGCCTGTTACCTTTCAGATTTAACGTAGCACTTCGTACCCTTCCAATCTGTTTCCTCCTTCATCCACACTATGTTGTATTGTGAAAGACCATGCACTTTATGTGGCTCCAAATAATCTAGGCGCGGTCTTTTTTTTTTTCCTTCGTAAATCCCAGTCACCTAGTGTTCATTCACTTCGACTGTTAAGTTTTGCCTTGACTAATTTGTATACCATCGATTTTTTCTTTCAGTATAGTTTCAATATTTTGTTGACTATGTCGTGTGGTTGCTTCCCCTTTTTTCCTGTCTATGCTCCCATGACGCTTCACGGTGCTTCTCGATCACTTCCCGGATTTCCTCGTAGCAGGCACTTCTTGGCTTCCTCTTTTTTTTAGCAAATAATTTTCTTTTTTTACCTATCTCTTTCATCAGCAAATGTAACAGCTCACTATATGCCCAGTCTTTACCTGGTATTTTGCCTACTTATTCCTCAACTTTTGTAGCTATATTTGTTATTTATTTGTCACTTAAATGCAAGCTGCCAAACTTTGGTTTTATGCTCTTCGCCCACACGCCTAATAATGAGTGAAGTGCTAAACGACTTATATTCTGCAGTTGCTTCTTGTTCTGCTAGTTCTGCAGTTTCTTCTTGTATAGAAGTATAAAAATGCGAATCGTAGGCACACACTGTAGAGGAGCTGGACATATCTGACAAACGTGTTTGTTGAAATCTGCAAAACTCTCCAATGCAAGCCTATGCAGTCTCACTGTTTCTTGCCCGTATATCACTATCTCACTGTCCCTTTCCCTTGCACGTATAAATTTCTTGAATTCATGCTTTCCTTTATGCTGTTTTCCACTGTCTAAGCTTTTCGAGCATAAGTTGTGGCCTATCGATGCTTGAAGTATGCAATCACTAATAATGCTTACCATTGACATGGCTGAACTGAATGCCCTGTTTATCTTCACCAACCAGTTTCTGCAGGGAACAAACAAACCACAATGACATAGCAAAGAATGAATACACAAGGATGAATAAGGCGACCACAAATGATGGTACTTACCTGCCTCGGTGAAGTTAAGATGATAGTTAGGCATGCCCCTGTTGATACAAGAACAAAACATTTCATTCATTGAATGCATGTTTCTACAGAATGCCCATCAGTGCTGGAAAAGACAAATGACTTCATCTACAGTGAAACTTCACTTGAACAAATCCCAAGGGACCCCAGAAAAAGGTTTGCTAAAGTGAAAGTTTGCTGAATTGAAATAGCTATGGTGCAACTTGCTATCAAGAGCAAAAGAAAGCATTAGTTGTTGAAATTGAATGTGAACCTTTTTATTTGTAATGCTGCTTATTTTAATGCAAATTTCTGCTATTCAGCACGTTTTGAAGAATGTAGAAATTGTTTTCTGCACTTGTGCACTGCGCACAGCAGTGGTCATGAATTGAGTAATTGTGTTCAAGTTCTCATAAACCTTCTCCAAGGAATGTGGTCACACCCCTTGTCAATTAGGAGGGGGGGTGCAGTTTGCCCCACACATTAACTCGTTGGAGGGGGAGACACTACGATGAACCTTTACCCTCATTGAAAGGCATAACTGAACACGCTTATGTTCCGAGACATGAAGCTGCGCTGGACGGTGAAGGACTTCACTTTTTCCAAGTAGGCCAGTACTTCTTTAGCTGAAGTACTTGGTGCTCCCTCTACAAGGTTTACTTCTTTATCCTACTGTTCTTCCGATGCAGGACGCTCTCTATATTTTATTCTATAGAGGGGTGCATCTCTCAACACAAGGGTCACACGTGATATACTCCTCAAAACGAAAAGTGCCCTCCATGTATACATTCTTTCAGACTATTTCCAGTCCATATGATGTGAGAAAGTTTTGATGATGTAAACATACGTTGGTACACCTGCGATGCACTCTGCACGAATTTTGTCAAAGTGAAATGCATCAGCATTGGGTCCAATGGCAGTTTGATATGATATGTGGGGTTTAACGTCCCAAAACCACCATATGATTACGAGAGATGCCGTAGTGGAGGGCTCCAGAAATTTCGATTACCTGGGGTTTTTTTAACGTGCACCTAAATCTGAGCACACGGACCTACAGCATTTTCGCCTCCATCGAAAATGCAGCCGCCACAGCCGAGATTCCATCCAATGGCAGTTCGCGGGGGATTTCGAAGAATTTGTACAGTTGAATACTTTGTTTAACTGATGCTCTTTCAAGTGGTATTTTGCTGTTGAAGTTTTTGTTGCAGGAAAAAAGAAAAGTGGTCGATAATATATTGAATAACTGAATGCCACGAAAACAATATCGACAGGCTGTGCACTTGAAACGTCAAACTAGCAATTCACTTGCATTAAACAGAAATATTTAATTGTATGTTGAAAAATGACTTCATGTCATTATTTTTAGTGTGATAGCGTGAAAAAAAAAAAGGCAAGATAGGGCGAGAAGCACCTAATGAGTTAATAAGTAATGAATTGCAGCATGTGGTATGTACAGAACGTTGATCCCCACTCTTTGTGTAATGTTATACCAGTGCTCGTGCGTGTTCACCGTCTATTGTCTCAATCGCGCTGTGCCTTCATACTGTTATACCAATGTTACACGGGCACTTTCGACCGGTATCAAGGCCGATCCGGATCAGATGCGTGCTGCTCCACGGCGACGTTCAATCGCTACGAGGCCCGATAGGAATGAAGACAAGCGCGATCTGGCTCTCATATCGCGATTTGATTAAGACTGCGCGATACTCATTATATAGTTCGGACCTTGAAACAGAGAACATTGTTGACTGCAATCATGAAATGTAACCCGAATCGGTTCCAAGCGCGACCAAGAGTACCCGCGTAACACTGGTGTTATACATAGGTCACAAAACACACTTTCGATCGCGATCGAGCCCAATCTGTATTGAATTTGGCTCCTTTCATCAGCTCGCGCTAACAAGCCAATCAGGGCCGACAAGGTCCTGATTGGCTTGTTAGCGCGAGCTGATGTGGTCCCCAATCAGACTTGTCCGCAATCTAAAGTACGCACACCACGCTATAACACTGACCAATGGTTTGTGGACCAACGTTGCACGCTATATGATAGGGCGTTGCGTGTATAAAGACATCGCACTGTTTTATCGTTACCGCCTTTAAAACTTGCGTATCATAATTGAAAGCCGCCAAACGCAGTAGCAGCCGACACGGTAACTTATCTGCGAGAACGCATAGGTCTGGCCGTTAAGTCTGTTGCGTTTATGGCGCCACGTTCAGCCAGACATGCATTTCGAACCTTCTTCGAAATCGTCGCACTTTTTATCCCGAAAATTTTAGACAAAATAGGCACGGTGCTGAATATTACTCTAAAATTTCAATTGCGCACCGGCCACAGCCATTCGACGAGGTCACACTTCGAATATCAACATAATAAATTGTTAGGCTTGCCCCCGTACCTTACCTGCTTGAATGCCTTCGGGAAACTCCAAATCGACAACCAGAGGAGTCGCCTCCAGGAAGACTTTAATAGTCATTGTACGTGAGCTGTATGACCTGATTTTACGAAAGAAATGCTCCCGTTACCGACAAACTGCAGATTAACATTAGACGCTGCCTTCCATGCTGACGTGCGCAGCGGCAACCAACTTGACAGGCAACATGGACGACCGCTGTTCGAGAAACAAGCCAGTGGAGACGCAATTGCGAAAAAACGGTTTTATTCCAAGTGCTTAACCTTCTCATTTGCCGCGAAACGCTCCTCAAACAACACCGACCATTGCACGTTAGAAAAATGCAGACAATCTGAAAATATTCCGCTCTCTCGCTAGGCTTGCTTCTTAGCTGTTCTTGTCCGCTAGGCGTCCCAGTGATTAGGCGCAAAACAGAATCCGAAACTAGGGCTACCGAAACTGAAATGCGTAATGAATTGCTTTCAAGGAGCTCTATAGAATCTCATAGTATAGAACCTCCTTGATTGCCATTCCTCACGGAATTTCTTCTAATGCGCATGACCAGGAATTGTTTGATATTGCACAAAACTTTACTGTCTATCGCTGTGATCGGATCACGCGTCGAGGAGGAGGCGTGCACCTGACCATCTCTAAATGCATTCCATCGTCATGCATACAGATAAATCGCGATCTGAGCCTAGAGTGGGTAGAGGTGATGGGGAAACGCAGGGGAGGTGTAGGGACGACTTGAAAGTCGTAGTTTTCTGTGACAGCACCAATAGATCACGAACTCGACATGTCGAAGCACGCGAACACGAGCACTCAACGTCCAGCGCCACAAGAGCGAGTCGGCTGTACTGTGGTGGAACAGCGCTTCTCCTTTCCATCAGCCACTCTGCGGAGTTTCTCTCGTCGCAACGAGCGTGCTGGAAGCTAAGCAGAAAGGGATGGCTCGGGGAAACGAACACTTTTAAAGTGTCCAGACGTACCGATTTAGGCGGGACATGTCAAAGTTTTGTGGCTGAGGTCCCGCCAACCTGCTTGCGGGATGTTGTGTTAAGTCCCACCATAGTGGTTCCACTTTCGGCCGGAAGCCAGTTCGCAGTCGAGAATCAATTAGCTCGGCCACTTGGCTATGGTCTGCTTCCTCCGTTTTTTTTTTTTCTTTCTTTCCGTCACTTGCTTGCTATCGTTCTTTCTCGCCATCTTTTTTCTCGTTCTCAAACACACAACCATGTGGTTCCCATAAATGCTTGTACAGCTACTGCATCTGGATGGTTCAGATGCTAACTTATGAACCGCGGGTGCCGGGGTTCGGGTCCCACTTCGAAATTTCATTTCATTCTTCTCCTCTCCACTTTGCCAATACCGCACTCACCTTCCTCCTCCTTGCCGCGTGTTACTAGGGCTTACTTTCTACCACCCTGCAGGCTCCAACCTCTTTCGTCACTGCTCTCCTTCATTCCACTCTGCTTCTTACATCTTCGTTTTTCCCTCACTTCATCTGTACTCGGTGGTGGGGCTTGCCCAATTCCACTTGGGAACGCACCCAATACTTTGCTAGAGCCGGCTAACTTAACATCATAACAGTAATGTACAATATAAACACACAAAAAGGCAAAATTAAGAATAAAATAAGCTAATTATTAAGTAATTATGTATCCAAGTGAAATTCGAAAGCCTGCAAAGGAAGTGTTGGCTAGAACTTCGTAAAACATGCAGACAATGCGAAAACAATTGACATGGCATCACAGCTAGGACTGGTGGCACAACAGAGTCGTTCGATCCTTCAGCTAAGTTCCACTGTGAAACCTTTTTCGTCACGATTGACAATCCGTTGCACATTATCGCAGCTCGCTTGAGCACTTGCACGAAGATCTGCTTGCAGCTTGATATCACAGTGCAGGCAATTCCCCTTGTGAAAAAGTATCCTTTTGGTCTTGCTGGCACAGTTTATGATGAATCAAAGATGAACATTCGGCAGAAGTCTGCCTGCTTGGGACAGGAATGAGACACCTAACCCAAAATTTTTGTGCGCTACATAGACCATTGCTTCTGTGTGGGTCGACAACTTGTTCACATGCCTGAACTCTGTTGAGCCTGACATACAGTTCACAAAGAAAGAGAAAACAATTCGGCCCTCCCATTTTAAGATGTACAGCAACAGAACCTACCCTTTTCGGAAAATCCAGGAAATATACTCCAGTTTAGTAACAAAACAATGTGTGCAATAATAACTAGACCTGTGTGAATAGCAAAATTTTGGGTGCAAATTTGAATATCGAATGTGTGTACGAATCAAATTGAATAATTTTGGAATATTTCTGAAATATTTTTCAGATACTTTGAAGTAAAATTACTGAAAAAAAAAGTTGGAGAGGATTCCTAAGCATGTTCTTTTGAGATTTAAAAATATTTCTCTGGGCTTGGTTGATGAAGTGCTGGTGGGGTTGGGTTTCATAGTTGTCTTATCAAGAATAAGGCAATGCAAAGGCTGAATTATACTCACGTACATGATTCGGTGCAACCAAAGTGTTGTTGAGAACATATTATATGTGAAAGGCATAGATGACATTTCCTCAGCCTCCCCTTCGACTTCTGTAGAAGCCCAACTGATATGGCTGACAAGGGTGTACTCCCTTCGAGTCCAGAGTTCCAAATCTGCCTCGTAGATGTCGATATGCAAGGACATCTGATATATTGAATGCTAAAAATTTTCTGCGTCAGATTTTGCGGACTTCCCGCCCGAATTTCAAATTCAAAACAACATTAATGGAGCCTCCACCTCTGCCACATCTGTCTACTCCCAATGCCTTTGCAACTGTAGCTGATCCTGAAATGCAGCTTTGCAGGTACATGACAGTATGATTGGGTGAAGTATATTCTAAATCTGAAGGGGCCACTTCTAATCAGACGTGGGTTATATCTTTGGAAAGTTTGAATAGTAAAATTTCTGTGCGAGTAGAATCAAATAGCAAACACTTATAAAAAAAATTTCAGTTTCTAAGATGTGTTTTTCACTCCTACAAAATTAAACATTGCCGGCAAGAATGCAAATTTATTAGCTATTTAAAGTGAACAATTTGTAGATTAATGAAAATTTAAACAATTATTTATTCAAGAATGTAATTAAGAACATTTTTGTGAAAGTTCTGCTTGGGTTTTATTTTCTATAGTCACCATCTTTCTTAAAAGACCAAAGTGTTGACACACTGCATGATGAAAAATTTGATTAAAAATTAAAGTTATTTGTTGGCGCAATTAGCATTATAATATACATAGCACAGTACGGAAACACTGCCTTCGGAGAGCCTTAATTTGTTCTGCCGGATGAAATATGCTACCAGAGGATTGGTAACATATTGTCTACAATGATGTACAAACGCTTTCTCAAAAAGCCCAACATCTCTACTTCAGCAGTGCTCACTTGCAAGCAGCCAAAACGTATGCTGCCAAATTTGAGAAGCAGATAAAGAAAAGCATTTTCCACAATAGCACTTCTCCGATTTTCCTTTTTTTTTTTTTAGGAATGATTTTTTATAGAAACAAGGGTACACTGTGCTAAAGGCTAAGACGAACGAAAAAAAAAAAAACATATGTCAATTAAAGCACACTTGTAGGTGTCATATGTATTTCTTAACTGATTTAACTACTCATGCAGTTCATAATTGTTGCAGTACAATCCAACAGTTCATGGTTAATCAACGGGTTTCTCCTTAAATCCTTGCACATTCAGCAGACAGAGGCAAACATCAATCGCTCCAAGGGGACACTGCCCTCCCTCTGCTGCCAGGGTTTGCGCTGAGTTGCAACAAGCCTCTCTCGCACGGCAAGCAAGTGTATACTATAAGCGCCGCACATCACTGTTTTTCTCACTCCTGAGGAAGAAGCCGGAGTGGCTTCGAAACGTTGGGTTTTGTAATATGAATAATTTTGGTTAGAGCTTTCTCATTGCTTCAGTTTCTATTCCAACCGGGTAGCCTTCTGCCAAATGGTCACCTTTGCCTAACTGGGCAATGTTAATATGGCCCTACACATGATTAATAAAAACTAACAGAACTGAGCTTGTACAGCCGCGTTCTACAAGATGGACACATCTTTACAGTAACAATGTCTCGTTTATTCAGCCAACAAGAGAGAGAAAAGTGCATGCACTGCACAGAAAGTGGCAAGAGTGAGAAAGATGATGGAAAAACATGACAGCAGCACATTGTTTGGACGGCTTGTAAAAGAAGAAACAAAACGAAGCTTGCGGCTTGGCACTGACCCAAGGCATCCTGCGAAGCTGCGTCACTACTAGCTACAGCAGCAGCCATCCACATATAGGCTACTTATGTGCATGGAAACCTGGCAGTGTTAGTCAGCACCACTTATAGTCAGCTTGCGTACTGTTTGAAGGCATCAAGTCCGTTTTCATTTCTTTGCTGCACATACTTAGCATATACCACTATGTGACATTATCGGGCTATGGAACACAGCACCAGTGCGGCAGCATCTTCTGGCAAGAAGCGCACCTGATCTAGACATCGTTTACGTCAGCCGTCGGTCAATAGCGTGCTACTACAGAACATATATGCACTGGTGCTACCTACTACCAACGTCATGCAGTGGGCATTGCCTGCTCTGAAGAGAGAGAAGACGGGCCTTTGCACGAGAAGAGGGTGCCTCAAAAGCCGAATTCATGCTTTGCTTCTAAGCTCTTCTTACCCTGCACACTTGCAGTATTCAGCCGAGATGCAGACACCGCCCGCAGAATGCATTTTTTTCACCAAGCCCAAGCATTATGTTTACCCTGGAAGAATGATGCCGTCAGTGCAGCACTGCAAGCCAATGCTACCTGATAAAGCCAGCAAGCCATTCTTTACTGTTCCATATGCATTGCCACAACAAAAGCTTAAAGAAAAGCAGAGAAATTGATGGCTATGTACACAAATGAAAACAATAAATGAATTCAGTGGGTCAACAGTGCTTAATGTGTTGGTGATTGTGGTGCAGCAAAAGCTTACAAGGGATAACCATTCTTCAGAATAATGAAGAACAAGTACCACAAGATCGACACAGCACTAACCACCATTCCTTCTTGGATCAGAAGGTGCAATACAGTAGACTCTCCGAGAACGGAAATCTCTTAAACAGAACTGCTGCCTAAATAAAACAAGTGCTTCTGACAAGATTGCTTTCTTCTGCACCCTAGTTGATCTCTCAGTAAATTAACGTTCTGTTCAATGGAACATATCTTGCCAGTCTCGTCAGGTTCTGTTTAGTGATACGAAAGCAACTAACTGTTCAAAAAAACAAATGCACCATTATACTTCTGATTGCAGGGTATGCATAATATTGAGGGCACACTGACTGTTCTTGGTCAGTGTGCCCTTAATGCCTTTTCATTAATTTTTTTTCTTCCCTTCTACTACAGTTGAACCCGATAATACTGAACCAACATATAGTGAATTGTTGCGTACATCAAACAGTTATAAAATTTTCTTTAAGGTGGTTTTCATATATAATACATCTTAAGAACCAAATTACCTATTTATAGAACTTTTTTTGTTGTTTCCTTAAAGTTTGGTATTCATGTTCGACTGTGTTATACTGAAGCACTAATTTATCTCAACAGCAGAAAAAATCTTGCAAGTGCTGTAAACACCCGCACTACAGCACAGCCGCTTAGTTATGATCAAGCTATGCAGACTAGAAGTGGCATCTGCAACCCCTGCAGTTCCACAAAACGAACGGCAATGAACAGCACATGCGCACTGATTTGACTGCAAAGCCAGCAGCAGCCCAAACAAACAAGTGTATGAAATAAGCATTTTATTGTCCTAATCACATCTTGCGCAGCCTATGGTAAAGTTAATTGGTCTCAAAAAAGCATTGTCACAAAAGAATCATTCCAGAGAGGTGGCTCTGGAGTCATGCCAAATAAAAGAAGAGCAAAAGCCATGCGAGAGGAAACAAAGTGACGCCAAAGCAGAATTTAAAGTGAAGCCTATGTTCATCGCTTTTGGTGCCTCCTGCCATTGTCTTCCTTCCTGCAAGCACAATGGAAGGTTCATTAGTAAACACAAGGGGTCCAAGAACCGCCAGAAAGTTGCTCTCACCACTGCTTTAGTGGTACGATCACAACAAGAATTCTAAATTCTCTTATTTGTACACTGTCAAGAAGCTGAAGAAAATTACTTAATACAAACTGCCCTGTCTGCAATCAATGCTGTATGGAAATGTTTCCATTATCATGTTAACAGATCTATTATTAATTAAATAGGCATAACAGTTGCTCAAGGTTGTGCAAAGTCTAGATCGTGCTTCGTGACAAAGACGAGTGAGATTAAAGAGCCTTTGCACTAGGGGGCGTCAAGCCCGAAGCAAGTATAGAACTGTGCGCACTTCTTTGTCTCTCTTGTCTTTCTGCCTTTTTTGTTGCTGTCTTGGAGCACACAAAACTGAATTCAGTATCAACCGGAGCAGAACACGTCCAAATTTTTGGTGAATATTCACATCATTGAGCTGTACAAGACATACTACTGCAATGTAACCAAGAAGACAATGTCAACACCTAGACAGCAGCCATTAATCAAACTCTTAGCATGAAAGAGTGCCACACTCTGGTTTCTCTGCAATGCACAGGATATGTGTTGAAGTGAACAATGAGTGAAAAGGCAAGTGTGAATGAACATATGCTGTCTACCAATGATGGGCATCATAAAGTCATTCCAAAAGAAAAAAAAAGTCCTAGCCAGAAAACCAGCAATCTAACAATCAAAGAAATAAGGTGAGGAAAACTCGTTGCAAGTGGGAACATACTGTTTGAAATTGCCTGCTTAGCAGTGATTTCAACAATCACTCTAACTCACTATGAATCATTCCATTGTACACAATAATTTTTAGAGACGTGAGCACTGAATGGCATTTTCCTTACGCTGCCAAGGACTTTGGGTTTAACACTTTTAATTTTTCAAATATTGTCAAAAATCTTGTAAAAAATAAAACTGGTACCAAATGAACTGGTACCAAGCAAGAGTCTGTGATGAATCAAAGTATAAAGTGTGGGAATTCTCTTCTTCAAGGCATTTCGAAGAAGCCGAGTCTGCTTGCCAAAACATTTTTAGAAACGCCTCATGCTAATGAATTTTTCAACTCAATATGCAATCAAGGAGCAGTAGCTAGGTAGTCCTCGAGCAACTCACATGGTTGGGTAATGAATAGGGTTTCCCGCAAACATATGCCAGATGACAAACGACTGGTCAGGTGAAAGAAGTGCTGGCGGGCCTAAGTTAAGCACAAGAGGGGCAGGGAGAGGGCAGTCGCCCCCCCTCCTAATCATTAAGAAGTGGGGTACAAACTCTGCCCCATACATTGACTCAAACCCCCCCCCCCCCAAAGCGGAACCCTGCGCACGCCTACTGGCTGGTGGTTCATTCTTCTTATTTTTTTCCTTGGCTCCTCGGGGAACTCCATGCTCAAAGCAGGCGGCGGGGGGGAAGGCAGCACGGTGTGAAAAAGCAAACCCCCCTTTTCCCCACAATTGTCACTTCTAGGATTCGCCGAAACAGGGTTCCAAACAGGGTTTGAGACTGAATCCAGGAAGGACGTTTTAAGGTGCAGCAGGTGCTGAGGACTAGTGTGACTATACTTAACAGTCTCGCTTTGCATATTGGACTTAACGAAGTCACCACACAGCTTGTTGAGCGGTCTGTGAACATCGCAAAGTCCTAGCGGTAGCACCGCTCAACACTCATCAATGTGCGAATTGTGAACAAAAGGTGCGCTGGGAAGGGACCAGTTGGGAAGATTTTCAAGCCGAGACAACTTCTTTGACCTCTCTTTTTGTTGTGATAGCAATTACATGGACAGTCTCGATGGGCTATTGCCGTTTGCTTCATGTCACGTGAACTCCATATTGAAGAAATTCCCCAGCGTATTGTACATTCTATCCACAGGTAATTGTGTGAGAGGGAGGTGATAAACATGGCTGACACAGAGATCAAACGAGCCAGCCCATCTTCATCGCTTTCCGAGGCGCATGTGATACGACGATATGCGACGGCCTGCTAGGCCGGCCGTCGAAACCTGAAGCAGAGAGGAAATGCCCCACCCGTCTCTAACGAGCGTTGAAAAGACGCTAGGGGAAAGGGGGCAGTGGCCCTCGAGTGGCAACTGGCAGCTTTAATTTTATGAGCACGGTCCTCACTGGCGCACGCGTTATCTCGCTGGCTCGGCAAATATCAGTGGGCGGCTCGGATACCCTTCTAGATGCTGTGCTCTCAATGTGAAGAGGATGAGTGGAGAATATCACTGTATTTTCTTGAACCAGCAATTTGTAGTGGTGCGTGATATCTCGAATATTTATCTAATGTTGCACTTGTAATATTCGTATTCGATTCAATAACCACATATTCAAATATTCGAACTAACTCGAATATTCCTAGAATATTTGATGTTCCCGAATATTCGTTCGCACGTCACTGTGAAGAACTTACGGTTTTGCGCATTTGTGCTAAGAGCCTCAATTGATCATTCAGTGTTTTATACGACTTAGGCGCAAGTGCGGCGATGCCTGCATGTAAATTCACGGGAGCGTGATGACAACTACCGATGAATGCGGCGGCACGTCATTGCGAAAAACCTACCAATGATAAACATCTCAATCAATCTAAATCATGTACTGTCTGCACGGCAGTACGTGTGGCTCAGCAGTTTAGCGGTGTTATGGTTCACGTAAGCGTACCAACCACGGCATCCGCTGCCTCACCAGGAACCGCAATTGCGTATCACTCATGGAAATGAAGGTAACTCGCCGCTGCCTCATTGGCTCGACAAAACAATCTTCACACTTTTGTTCAGTCCCGTACTAAGTGAGCAGGAAGAAAAAGAACATCTGCATATCTCTACTTAAGGGCAAATGCACGCGCATACTTTACAGGGCACGATGCTCATCGAGTGAGATTAGCAGACGATGCACTGCCCGCAACTAGCTAGGGGCGCGCGCAGCTTGACGTACGATGGTATTGCGTTTTATGTATAGCCCCACAAGGTTTTCGCTAATTGATTGCCGTACAAACGTACACACACATGTTGAAGCCTGGCGAGTCATTTGTCAGCTGTGCCGTTGTTCAGCATGTATACTCTCTTCAATGTTCTTGAATAATTTCATGATAGCGGATATGGTCATGTGAATGAGCTGAAGTGTTTTTCCGCACAATGGCAAACATAGAAAAGACCGTGCACTTTCGGTAACGTTCGGTAACGGTAACGGTAACTTTCGGTAACGTAAATGGCATCATCACATATAGTTCTCCATTGCTAAAGGCGGCACACGTAAGGTGACGGACGGATTAATGCGTAGTTCTGCTGCGTTCCCGACAGCGGCTTTGAAAATCCGTCGTAGGTGCATCGCGCTCGTGCAGCAACACAGTTGCTGCTATCTCGCTCTTTTGCCAACGTCAGTTTACTGCCGTCGGCAGCCAGTGCGCCGAAGGCAATCGCGACATGGCAAAATAGCGCCTTCGCCCCTGGGAGTTGTGGCTCCATTAACAAAAAAGCGTGTTTGAGACGTCTATCTATCACACATCAGTAATCACCTTTCTCACGCGCTTACCGTGCATTATCGCTGCGCGCCCGGTACACCTCGGTCATGTACGTGCTGCTATCAACGCAACACAGCATTCTTGATCAGAAAATGGCGAGCACGCAGTCCTCGAGAAAGGCAACGAAAGCAAGCGAGATAACGAGTATTGCCGTGTAGTTGGAAAACACCCCAAATACTCCTATTTCTTTCAGCGGCTTCACCGGTGAGCACAGGGAAGAAAATTAAAAAGAAAACAAGAAAGTCAGGGTCTTTCGAGCCAAAACTGATATTGTGAAAACTTGGATGAATTGTGACCACCTAGGCTACTTTAATAATGGCTAAGATTTATAGGGCCACTCACCAGACCCCATACCGAGTTTTAGTTTAGACAATGGAAGTAATCGGGTGTCCTATGAAGAACATTTTGCCACAAAAATTTTTCGAATCGTTCATCACGAGCGGAGAAAACAGGTTTTTTGAAGCGGCGCGAAACGAGGATGAGAGGAAGCGAACTCGAAACCCTTGCCGCTCTTCCGCGTAGCCTTTGCAAGCCAAATCTCTTCCCCACCCTCTCCAGCACCCAACCATGAAGTGACGTGCGCATGACGTGCCCAAACAAGTTCAACCCCCGAGAACGCGAGCAGCGTTGCTTTGTTGACCAGCGTTATTTTGTGGTCTTCTGCCTGTTTCTGCGGGACGGTTTGGAAACGCAGCTTATACGCGGTAGAGTAGATAAGCACAATGAGTGCACGAACGCGTAGGAGCGTTCCACAGCGGTCGTCTGCTCAATGCGCTGACCGCGGGGACACGAACGCATGCGAAACGCTGGCACATTAGCCTCGCATCTCGTAGCATTTCGCGGGGAAAAAAATAAAAGAAAAGTGCGCACATTTGTTTATTGTGTCCCATTATTTATTTCATGTTTTATTAATCTCTTAAAGCAACAAATACATAAACTACGCATGTTGTGTTAAATAATTTTTGCCATGTCACGTGGTATACTACAGTGCAGTCCACTTATAACGATACCACATATAACGATATATCGGTTATAACGATGGGGCGACTTAACAGTCTCATTTTATGCATTGGGGCTATGGGGAAAAAAACCATATATAACGATATGTTATCCACCGCATATCGGATACAACGATGAAAAGTTTGCCGTGGACGGCATGTTTCATTCAGAATAATCGTAACATTTAGATTGATAAGTTCTTCTGAAACGAACTATGCCGAGACAAGACGAAAAGTTAGCGTAGGCGAGTACGTATCTGCCGCCACTGCAGGACAGCGCCGGCAGCGCGTCCCGGCCGTTCAAAAAGCCGAGGAGGGCATCGCGAGTTGGCGCGACGCGCTACAGATGGCGCCAGCTGTGTCACGTTTTGCGCCTCGCCGCGCGTCGACCGCGGAGAGGCTGAGAGAATTAAAAAAAAAATGCGAAAAGCAAAGCGCCGCGCTCCGCGGCTCCCCGCCTTCTACAACGGCAAGCCGGCAAGCTACTCGTAGCTTGCCGAACGAAAGCGGGAAAGAGAGAGAAAATAAAAAAAAGCGAAAAGCAAAGCGGCGCGGCGGCATCGGGGCGGGGCCTCGTTGGCATTCCGGCTGTGTACCTCTGGCTGTGCTTTCTTCTTCCCACTGCTCCCACCCCGCCGTCGGTCAGTCTCTCTTCCTCAGCGAACCCGGGATGCGTTCTTCGGAGTAAGAAATAAAGTCTTGTTTTTGGCATCCTACTATCTACAATATCTATTAATTGGTGAAAATAGCGAAATGAAGCCTGGAGCTTCAAAAGGTACGTCCGGCGACGATTTTTTGGCGGCAGTCCAGATATAACGATCACCGGTTATAACGATCATATTTTTAGGTTTTCTCGATATCGTTATAAGTGGACTGCACTGTATTGACAACGTCAGAGCAGACTCGTCTACGTAGAGGACCAATGTCACTGCATTGCCGTGTACGTAGGGCCATTCCTACGCCTACCTCATGCCCTCATTTTCTACGCGTGCGCCGACAGAGGGAAGGGGGAGCAGCTTTCATCTTGAAATTTGACCCATTTCCGCGGCGCGTAGCGTTGCAAAGTTTGGCAGACGTGATCATGAACGCCTCATCTACGCATTGCGCTTGTCAGCTCAAAAGTGTCAAACCGGGTGAGTGGCTATTTAAGTACATGGTGTTGACTGTTATACAATCAAACCAGTGGCCTCATGCTCACTAGTCACCATGCAAGTACAATAGCTTTTTTATTTTTTGTAAAAAAAATATAAAAGAAGGTTTGCTCAACATATGAATTGAACCCAAGAAATCACAGCCACAAGCTGTACTTTTACAGTCTTATGCTTTCTGGAAGTACAGATGGTGACATATTTGATCAAATTTTTGTGTGCAATAACTTACTATAATAACAACTGTACTGTTTCCACCATAAATATATGATTCAGTAAAAGATTAGTGGTGGAAAAAAATTTCACCTCTTCTTTATTCAATATTTAATTCATATTCGAAGCTATGTATTCGTATTAAAAAATTTGGTATTCACACACCTCTAGCAACAACCTTTAGCACAGCGACGTATTACTTGTTCCTGAAGTGCTGGCAAAAATAGCCTTTGTCAGAGTACCTTTTCTGATGCACAGATGGTTTATTTATGCCACTGTTCATTATTCGTTCAGAAAATGGAAGCTTGTGAAAAGATACTATCCTATCATCCTTGCCAAGTGTACAGAAAAACTGTTTTGCAATACGCTTTTTCCTTTCCTGACAACGAATCCATTTACTATAAATGCTACCGCATGAGCAAAAGTGAATGCAGTCAGCTACATGGACCTCAATAGCCTGTAGCCTGTTTCAAGTACCATATTGGCTCAATTTATCTGCGAATAAAGATTATGTACAAGAAGTCATGTTCCTCCCCACACACCAGCCAACATACATTTTCACAAAGTCCACTACAGTAAGAAGACCCCCTGCTTCCTGTTATCTTATGGCACTGACGTCCAGCTCTACACACTAATACCTTCCGTTTACTCCATATATAAGTGCTAGTACTGGCCCTGAAGAAAGACACTGGCTTAGTGATGCAAGCAATGCCCCAAATCCTCTAGTACCATATGTGCTTCATCTCTCAACAGAGTCACGATGAATGGGTGTGAGGAGACGTACAGTGGAGAAATTTCTCACGTCCCCCCATCACGGCACCATCACTGCACCATTAAACTGTTCCGACGCCCCTGTATTGTCAAGACATATAGTGTAACTTACTTTATGGGGACCACAGGCACCGTGAATGGGGGAAGCTTCAGAACAACCTGTATAAAGAAAACAATAACCTTTTCAGACCTGTCACACCCTTCATGAATAATAGCAGACTTTTGATCTTTAGTCACTTTCACGACAGTACATTAATGTCATGCAAAAGCATTGCAAAATGTAGGACAGCAGAAATTCTGTGTGGCACAACGAAATAATCGAGATACCATTATCATGGTACAAGGCTGAGCCATCAACCAATAGCTGATTTTCAAGCGACAGCAGCGCCCGTGGACGGCCATCAACTCACCTGGTACTTAAGTGGGTCATTAGGCACGACAGTGATAAGCACATTGACCAGCTGGAACACGCCAATGTTGAGTACTACCACTTCATTAGGAGACTGGGATGACTGGTAGTGTAGCTCAATGGTATTACGGCCTCCCTCGGTCGAGTGGTGGAACCACTTCACGCCCAGCTTCTGCATTCAATTCGAATTTAATTCATATTAAATTCAAAATTTTTATTTACCAGACAAAACTAGAAAGTCGCCAAGAGTACTGGAAGGTCGCCAAGGCTAAAAGCCTTGGCGACCTTCCAGTGACCAGTGATATTAGTGACCGGTACATGCACGCGGCAGCCATGCAGAAATGATTACAAGTACATAACACGCAAGCATAAAATAAAACATTAACAAATCACACTAATTAAAAATATTCTCCCAACTGATTCTTTTACAACACCAATATTAAATGTGCAAAAAAAGGGTTTTCAACAAGCAAAAATACACCAAGCACAGGCCATTGTATCCATGTAACCAAGAAGTAACAACTGTGACAGTGGTTAATTTACACTCATCCTATGGATACACGTGTGTTCTTTTCCAGCGGCGTTCTTGGTTTGTCTTAGCGGCACGCTTCCAGTGTCGAGCTATGACAGTTGTTCATCAACACTTGTCCAGTCCGCTTTCTTTTCATGCGTCCTTCGTGTTTGAGCGGCGTGTTACAAGTATGGGGTTGTTTGTCCTTCGTGTGACATTCTAATTTCTTGCTAAAGCATTCACTGCTTCATTCTCGCCACAAACTAACTTTTTTTTCACATGCACTTTTGCAAAATGGGATCGTGTGCACCCATGCCGCATTACTGCTTCAGAAACGGGGAGTTTGACAGGTTCACAAAAGAATGTACCACATTTAGGAGGTTGAAATGTCGATATGAGAGTGCACTGCTCAGGTAATTCAACGATTTTCAAGGATAGCGAAAAATTCCAGGAATATCAAGGGACTTGAAAGTACATCGTTCAAATTCAAGGATTTTAAAGGATTTCAAGGACCTGTACGAACCCTGAATATTTATTTCGGGCACCTCTGCAAAAGAAGTTTAGTTTGGTACTCCAGCTAAAGAATCTGACAAGAGCATTCCGATGAGAATCTGACAGTAAACTGCTACGTCATAACAAGAAAAACTCACATCACAGTAGACGCGCTTGACCATGCCAACACTGAGCGCGAGTACGTCGAAGGCATGCTCGAGCACCGCCACGACCATGGCCTTGTCCTCGAGCGAGCCACACTGCTCCACAAAGGCGTGCAGAAACAGGTCGACGCTCAGCTCCTGCACCGTGCGCGCCTTGTACTTGCTGTCGTTGCAGTGGTCGGCCACCGACTGCAACTCCGAGGCACTCAATGCCACGGCAGGTCCACAACCTGCATTTTGTCATTGAACTTCAGAGAAATCTCACGGGTGTAATCATACGTGACAACACACTCCAAGATTAAGGTTAATGGTTTACAATGACTGCCTTTTGATGAAAATGAAAAAAGTGCAAAAGGTAGCTACAGTCTTCACAAATGAGGTGCTTAATAACCATAAAGGTAAGCAAACTCCTACTGTAAAGACTGGCATAAAATTAGAGCGATGCAAAAAGCAAAACTTTAGGTGCGAAGTGAATTTGAATATTGAAGTGTGAGTGCGAATCGAATCAAATATATTTGGAACATTTCTAGAATATTTTTCAATACTTTATAGTGAAATTGCTGGAAAAAAAAAAGAGTTGGAGAGAATTTTTAAGACATATATTTATGAGATATTAACATGAAAGTGTTTCTTTTCTTTAGGTTGATGAAACACTGGAGGCATTGTGTTTCATAACTACTTATCAAGAATGAGGCAATTCTGAGGCCAAATTGTGTTTATATACATCATTTGATGCAATGAAAGTGTAGTCAAAAACACTTTACACGTGAAAGGCAAAGACAGTATTTTCTCAGTCTTGCCTTCTCCTTTAACGTTTGTGGAAGCTCAACTGACGTGGCGAACAAGGGTGTACTCCCTTCGAGTTCAGAGATCCAAATCTGCCCTGTAGATTTCAATATATGAACATCGGAAACTTTGGATGCTAAAAATCTTCAGTGCCCGATTTTTTTCAAACTTCCCGCCCCAATTACAGATCCAGAACAGCATTAATGCACCCCCTCAAGCCCCCTCTGCCACATCTATCATCTCTATGTTGGAACCAGAGTTTTCTTGACTCAATACACTTGCAGCTGTAGCAGAGCCTGAAGAGCACTTTGCTTAAACACGAGAATGTAAAGGGGTGAAGCATAACGAAAATCTTGAGGGGTCACTGCCAACCTGACATTGACTGTCTTCGGGAAGTTCGAATAGTTTCGGATAGTGAAATTCCAGTGCAAATCGAATCAAATAGTGCGCCATTGAAAAAGGTATTTGAAATTTTGAATAATCGCACACCCCTAGATAGGATTCATTTCAATTAATCAATTCACAAACTTGCAAGGCGTTCTTTCATCATCAGAGCATGTTCAATTGTTACAAGAAGTGATAACATATTGTAGCGATGCTGAGGCAGACAGGCTAAAAAACAAGCAACTCTATTAGGGCGAACTTGTGCCCACAAGTCTAATGACTATGGTCGTCGAGTCCGAGGAGCCGAGAGGCACAGATTCAACTAACTTCCTCTTCCTCGTTGTTTGAGCACACGAACGCGTGACACATGCCAGCCGGGTCTTGCTGGTGCTCTTGCCATGATGATTGTGGCGGCTACTTGAACGTGGCCAACCTGTCGCGGCCTTATCCCCCTCCTTAGACGCATCATCCCGATGCTCGAGAGAGTGAAATGATACATGCGCCCTCTCACTCGTTTTCCGACGATCTGTCATGATAGGGCTTCATGCGGACTACGTGTACAACTTCCGTGGTATTGCGGCGTCTTGAGCTCACGTGTCCCGCGGATCTGACTTCATAAGTGACGTCGCTGATACGGTTGAGTACTTCATAAAGGCCGAAGTATCGACAAAGAAGCTTTTCAGAGAGTCCGCGGCGGCGCACTGGGATCCATATCCACACTTTGTCACCGGGATGATAAAGTGCGTCACTGTGTCGTTTGTTGTACCGACTAGAGTCGACGCGCTGTTGACGGCGTATTCGGTATCTTGCCATTTGTCGCGCTTCTTCGGCTCTTTGCAAGAAGTCATCTAAGTCAGGTGGATAGCTGTTTTCGTCTTGTAGTGGTAACATGGCATCCAGTGGGGTGGTCACTCTTCGGCCGAATACTAGTTCGAAAGGGGCAACGTGGGTTGTTTCTTGAACGGCTGTATTATATGCGAATGTTACGTAGGGTAATATTTCATCCCACTGTTTATGTTCAACATCGATATACATTGATAGCATGTCGGTCAGAGTTCTGTTGAGGCGTTCGGTTAAGCCATTTGACTGAGGGTGATACGCCGTTGTTCTTCTGTGATCGGTATTTGTCATGCGCATCAGACATTGCATAAGGTCTGCAGTAAATGCTGTGCCCCGATCCGTAATAACGACGATGGGCGCACCATGTCTGAGCACTATGTTGTTCACAAAGAGCTTGGCGACTTCGGCAGCTGTCGCACTGTACAGAGAGTCAGTCTCAGCATAACGGGTCAGATAGTCTGTAGCTACGACAATCCATTTCTTGCCTGCACATGATGTCGGGAAAGGTCCTAAGAAGTCCATGCCAACTTGTTGGAATGGGGCATCCAGAGGGTCTATTCGGTGGAGAAGGCCGGCTGGTTTTACGGCTGGAGTTTTGCGCCGTTGACATTGACGACAAGTTTTCACGCAGCGCTGCACTGATACGAGCAACTTAGGCCAATCGTACTTCAGGCGAATCCTGGCGAATGTTCGGCTCACACCCATGTGGCCGGATGTTGGCTCGTCGTGGCATGCATGCAGAATTTCTTGTCGCATGGCTTTGGGCACGACTAGTAAAAACGTTTCACCATTAGATTCAAAGTTCCTCCTGTAAAGGACACTTCCTCGAAGGCAGAACGTGGAGAGCCCTCTGGAGAATATGCGAGGAACTTGAACGTCGAGACCCTGCAGGTGTTGTATAAGCGCCAGCAAATCCGGGTCACCTCGTTGTTGTTGAGCGATTTCGGATGAGTCGACAACGCCTAGAAACGAGAAGTCTTCCTCTTCAAGTACACTTGGATCGACGGGAGAGCGTGACAGGCAGTCGGCATCACTGTGTTTCCTTCCAGATTTGTATACGACCGTAATGTCATACTCCTGCAGCCTAAGGCTCCATCTGGCTAGTCGACCTGACGGATCCTTGAGATTTGCTAGCCAACATAGAGCATGGTGGTCACTGACAGCTCTGAACGGTCTACCATAAAGGTAGGGTCGAAACTTATTTATTGCCCAGATGACTGCGAGGCACTCTTTTTCAGTAGCAGAGTAGTTTGCCTCAGCTTTTGAGAGTTTGCGGCTGGCATAGGCTAACACTTTCTCTTGACCATTTCGCCACTGGACCAGGATGGTGCCGAAGCCGACATTGCTGGCATCGGTATGGACTTCAGTGTCGGCTGTCTCATCAAAATGGGCAAGTATTGGTGAACCCTGTAGCCGTTTTCTTAATTCATCAAAAGCTTTCTGTTGTTCGCTTTCCCATGTGAAGGGCACGTCGTCTTTTGTTAGTTTTGTAAGAGGTTCCGCAATCTTTGAGAAGTTTTCCACAAATCGCCTATAGTAGGCACATAAACCCAAAAATCGATGCACTGGCTTTTTGTCTTTGGGTGTAGGGAACTTCTGAACAGCGGCTGTCTTTTCTGGGTCAGGACGAACACCGTCAGAACTAATGACATGTCCAAGGAATCTCAGCTCTTCGAAGCAGAAGTGGCATTTTTCGGGTTTGATTGTCAAGTTTGCTGACCGGATGGCTTGTAATACAGTGCGCAGTCGCTCCAGATGTTTGTCGAACGTTGCAGAGAATACCCCCACGTCATTCAAATACACTAGGCATGACTGCCATTTCAATCCCGCGAGGACAGTGTCCATCACTCGCTGGAACGTCGCTGGCGCGGAACAGAGGCCGAATGGAAGCGCTTTGAATTCGTAGAGGCCATCTGGTGTTACGAATGCCGTTTTTTCACGGTCCCGCTCGTCTACCTCTATTTGCCAATATCCGCTTTTCAGATCCAAGGAGGAGAAAAACTTTGCGGATTGCAGCCGATCTAGTGTATCGTCAATACGTGGCAAGGGGTAGACATCTCATTTAGTTACACTGTTGAGTTTTCGGTAGTCGACACAGAATCTAAGCGTGTTGTCTTTCTTCTTAACGAGCACTACGGAGGACGCCCGTGGACTATTCGAAGGCTGGATGACATCATCCGAAAGCATTTCCTCCACTTGCTTCTTAATGATTTCCCGTTCCTTTTATGACGCTCGATATGGATGCTGGCATATAGGCCTCGTGTCGTCTTGCGTTATAATTCTGTGTTTCGTAATTGACGTGTGCTAGACCTTCGAGGCAATTGAAAAGCACTCAGAGAATTCTTTTACTAAGGCGTAAATCTGTTTCTTTTGACTGTCCGGAAGGCTCTGGTTGAAGGTCACGGATGTGTCGATGTTGCAGGCCACTGGTCGAGTGGTTGACGTGGTTAAGCTGCATAGTTCTGTCGCCATACAGAAGTCGTGTAAATAGGCAATAGCAGTGCCTTGAGCGATGTGTTGAAGTTCAGTGGAGAAATTCGTAAGTAGAACATCTGCACGGCCATTCGTCAAGTGAACAAGACCCCGAGCTACGCAGACACCTTTTTTCAAAAACAGCCCTACATTTGTATCCGCTATGCCTTCGCGGTTGTAAAATGCGTCATTCTCTACGAGCACCATTATACTGCAGCGTGGCGGCACAGATACGTCATCATGAACAACGCGTAGAGCAGTTAGGCGTCGTTCCTCAGATTCTTCCACAGGTATAGCTCGTTCAGTCGAAAACGACATGCTGGACCTACGCAGGTTAATTACGGCGCCATTAGCTCGCAAAAAGTCCATTCCTATAATGAGGTCTCTTGAACATTCTGGTAGCACAATGAAATCGGCAACGTAAATAAAGCCCCGCATTTCAAGTCTTGCGGTGCATCTGCCAAGGGGCGTAATAATGTGACCACCTGCCGTGCGTATTTGCGATCCACTCCACTATGTCACAACTTTGTTTAGCTTCTTCACCATCTTGTGACTTATTATCACTGACTAATCAGCACCGGTGTCGACTAAGGCATTCAGCTCCCATCCTTCTATTCTCAACCGCAAATCTGAAGTAACGCTTTCGTGTTTGCACCCATTTACCGGAAATACACCGTCGTCGCCCTCAAGCCATATTGGAGGATCTTCATAATTGATGTTATCAGCGGCCTCACCTCCACAGGTCGCT